TTAGTCTAGATTAGGTTAATTTTGAAGCATAAGTGGGGTATAAATAATGATGGGCTTTTGAATTGCTTGTCATATGCATGATCAGCACACTCTGCATTCATCAGTAGCTTAGGTAGTTCTAAAGTTTTAAGCACCTTTTCCTGTGAAGGAAATCAAAGAGAAATGAAGCCCTTCTCGCTGAGTGAAACCATGGTATTCAATACAACAAACAAGAGCTGCAACACAACCTCTCTCGCTTATTGGATTTCTTCGCCATTCAGCCAGTCTAGATTTCATATATTACACCACACCTCTGTCTGGCCAATTTCTCCATTTATTGATAGAGGACATATGTTAACAAAGCTTTGCCTGACTCTCCTCGACTTCTCCCCAAATACTCAAAAGTCCCCACCGCAACCAATGCCTGCATCTCACATGGTCACTCACAATTCCACCGCATGAATAAGTTCGGTCCATTTAATCATGTTCTTTGGCATGCATCCACCCATGTAACAAATCATTGCTACAAATAATTATTTACAAATCATCAATGCTACAAAATAAAAATGATTGCTCATAATAAGTATTACAAAATATAATTATAAATGTATTACTATCAATATTTTTATATACAAACTAATTTACATTCTTTAACGAATTTAAAACGAATCGAACTAAAAATCGTACTGTCTATGCCTACTCTCTAGCGAATGATACTATATGTTATTACCGAATCCCATACCCGAACCGAATTGCGAACTCGAATCGTACCCGTATGGCACATGTTTTGTTGTGATTGCTTCCCTTTACGTTTTTCCGCCACGCTTTGTGCATCATTGGTAGTGACAGTTTTAGTTGCATGCTCACATAAACTCTGCCAAAAATACACAGATTTCAAGATTTTAAATCCCTTTGTGCACCATTTATTCCGCTAATGAGTTTCATCTTAAGTTCTTTTGTTGGAAAAATTTGATCTTGAAGTCTGGCACATATGCTTTTGCAGGGAAGGTGTATGAGATTGGATCATCTGGAATTAGCACTCTAAAAGGGCACAACAAGAGGAGGAATAAATAAGAGCCTCAACGATTTCATCTCCCTCTTCGGAAGGATGTCCCTTGTACCAACTAAAGCTAAGGCTGCAGAGTAGACGCTAGAATCAAATGGTTCTGGTAGTTTCAGGTTAGATTTATATATTTCTAGTGTCTGTATATATACTGGAGAAGGACGTTATCGCTAATAGGAAGTTAGGAACATGATGATACTCCTGAACCATAATCCACATTTGTTTACTGACCAATGACAGAAAGAACACAAATTGATAAAAGTATATTAACTTAGCAGACACAAATTAATACAATCATAAACAACTGAACAAGTGCCCAACACATAAGAGTAGGTAAATAGTGACCAGGTACCAGTCACAGGATGAACGATGAAGAAAGAAATATCTGAAAAAGCAAAAACCAAAATAGAAGAGCTCTCAAAATACACAAATCAACTCAAAACTCAAAAGAGTTAAAAACTCCTCTTTGTGTTAATGTCGAAATGACTATATTAGCCTAGATTAGATTGCCTTTTTTTGGTGTAAGTGGGGTATAATGGCTGATTTTTCTTTTGCTTGTAGTATGCATCATCAGCAGACTCTGCATTCATCGGTAGCTTAGGTAGTTATAAAATTTTAAGCACCTTTTCCTGTGAAGGAAGGAAATCAAAGAGAACTGAAGTCTTTCTTGCTGAGTGAAACCATGGTATTCAATACAAAGAAAAAAAGCTGCTACTTAGTCTTTCTCGCTTACTGGATTTCTTAGCCAGTTAGCCGGTCTAGATTTCATATGTCACACTCACAAATCCGTCTAGCCAATTTCTCCAGTTATTGGTAGGGAACATGTTAACAAAGCTTGACTGACTCTCTTCAACTCCTCCCCCCAAAATACTTGAAGTCGCCTCAGCAACCAATGTGTGTCTCGCGCAATTCCACGGAATGAATATGTTGCCATGACTACAAGGCCTAAGCACACCCCAACAACACAAACCCACCCTCACCATCAACCACCACAACACCCACCATTAAAGTTATCAAATTTTCCTTAGTTTCACTTTTACATTTTTGGAATGAAAGTGCAGTTCATTTCTTTGGAGTTGTTCTTTTATCTATTATTGGAATTGACGATGATGTAATTGTCCCTTCTCCCACATTGGATTTTGCTTTCACCGTCTGGCAATCTGCGTCAAATGCCATTTGGATGCATAAAGTTCTCATAAAACTTCATTCTTTCATAGGAATACATTTACTGTCTATCTTTTTGTTTGAGTTTGCAGGTTCAATTGCTTATGTGCTGCTTTTCTTATACATTTGATTTGTGCTTGTGCAGAAACTGTGAAAATATGGCTACGTCATTTCTCACTGCTAATGCCACCGGTGCTCCTCCAATTTGGGTGAAAGGTAGTTTGCATTTCCTTATCTTAACATTTCTGTATCTGCAAATTACAGTGAATGAGCCCTCCAATTTTGTATTAATGTCCAAATGACTATATTAGTCTAGATTAGATTGCTTTTGAAGCATAAGTGGGGTATAATGATGGGCTTTTCAATTGCTTGTCATATGCATCATTAGCACACTCTGCATTCATTGGTAGCTTAGGTAGTTATAAACTTTTAAGCACCTTTTCCCGTGAAGGAAATCAAAGAGAAATAAAGCCTTTCTCGCTGAGTGAAACCATGGTATTCAATACAACAAACAAGAGCTGCTACACAGCCTTTCTCGCTTATTGGATTTCTTCGCCATTCAGCCAGTCTAGATTTCATATATTACACCACACCTCTGTCTGGCCAATTTCTCCATTTATTGGTAGAGGACATATGTTAACAAAGCTTTGCCTGACTCTCCTCGACTTCTCCCCAAATACTCAAAGTCCCCTCAGCAACCAATGTCTGTCTCTCTCAGTCACTCACAATTCCACGGAACGAATAAGTTGCCACTACTCAATCCACTGCGAGCACACCCCAAAACGCCAAACCAACCCAACCCACACACCACCCCCCACCCCCCCCCCCCCCCCCCCCCCCCCCCCAAAAACGAACTCCAAAGTTTCACTTTTACTTTCAGAATTGTAGTGCAGTTCACTTCTTTGGAGTTGTCCTTATCTATTATTTTTTTGAATTGAATGAAGAGAGGAGGTTGATAGTGTATATGGGAAGCAACAGTGGTATTAGGCCCAGCTGCAAATGGAGAACAAACATTTCTGTTTTGACACTTCATACAACTGTCACTAATGTCGGCCCTGCAGTTTTCGAATTACCACGCCATAGTTTTGCCGTTCAAAGGTGCTTATGTGAAAGTCAAGCCCTGGTCGCTGAACTGCACCAGAACAAATAAAAAGCTCTCTTATAAGATCACCTCCGTTATGAAAATCCGGCAAGCAGTTTCGGAATTTGGAGGGTTGGTGTGGAAGGATGGAGCGCACAGGGTGAGAAGTCCTACTCTGGTTGCTTTTTCAAGTGAACCATTCATTAACGCTTGGGTTCCAGCAATTGGAAAGAAGGGAATTGTATTAGTACAAAGACCCTTGACCCTCCCTATCACAAAAACTTTTGGTATTGTGGGGATCATATTTCAGAGCTTTTGTTCACTGATGCTTCCTCGAAAAAGATGATAGTGACCTCCATTGTTACCTTACTGAAAGCTCCATTATATGCTCTGTGATACCGTTGGACTGGTCTTGTTGATACTTACTGTTAGATTGCTCAGTGTGTCAGTTGTAGTGAATCTAGTGATTCATGTTTGTTTTTCTACCTTTTCATGTTTCACCTGTAAAGTAGTAGTAGTAGTCTTTCGTAACATTGTAAAATAGTTGGATAAGTTGAGTGTATAGATAAGTTGAGTGTTTCTGGACTAACAGAATTGTAATCAATTGGCTTTGGATTACCAAGTGAGAGTTCTTTGGATTAAAGCTTGGATGTGTAGTTTTGCTTTTTATATTTTATTTTCTCATGATTATTACGTCATAGTGCTTGTGTAACAGCTGACAGCTTGACAAAATGCTGAACACAATTCTTTGGTTTTCCATGTTCGTGTGCTCATGCTCTCTTTCACTTAATCAGGATGGAAATTGAAGCGGATCACATTGGGCTTCTGTTGGTTGCTTCAGCTGGATATGATCCCAGAGTGTGTCCAACTGTGTCCGAGAAGTTGAGCAAGGTTATGGTGACTCTGCACTCAGAGACTATCTTTCAGGGAATAAGAGCTGAATTGCTGGCTCAAGCTAAGATCATGGAAGAAGCACTCGCAATATACCGGGATGTAAGAGCAAGACGCGGGGTTGAAGACTTTCTTTAGGACAGTCAGTAATCACTTTGCGACTACTGACATAGTTCAATTTTTTCATTTTTTTTCTTCTGAATATGATTCCTGTACTTGTATGTAACTCTTGCATGTGCTAGTACAAGTTATTGCAGGAGAAGAAAAAGAATATGCAACTTACATATGATTCCGTTGGATATATGTAACTCATATATGATCTTTAAATATATGTTACTCATGTATGATCTTTAAATATATGAATAGTTTTTAAATATATGATCTTTATATGGTTCCGTTGGTTGTTGGATATGATACATGTGAGATACTTACATTTAACCGAGGATATTTCTGGTCATCCCAACTCACTTTTCATGTGAATAGGAAGATTGTGATATATTTCCGGCTTACAACGATGTTGTTGGGTAGGTAAGTGTAGATTCAACATCGTACTTTAACCCCCTTCTTCGCATTTTATTGGGTCAAAAAATCGAAAGTACGCACATCCCTGTCGCACCGAAATTTCCTTGAAGGTCTAAATGCAAGTACACCGGTGCCGCGTTTTGCGTTTTCGATTTGGTGACTTCAGATTTTCACTGAAAGATGGTCACACACATTTCCAATGAGTCAAGCCTTTGAGTGAAGAGGTGAATGCTCGTGGGCTTTGGGCCACACACATTTCCACTGAGTCAAACTTCCTTTCACACTGAAATTTCCTGTAAGAAGATGTGAAAACTCATGAAGCATAATTTTCTTTTGTCCTTTTTGCGTAATGACAGATTTAAAAACGATTGACTTCAAATCTACCAGACTATTGTCGGGGATCCCAAGCATAATTCAGTATTTCGTTTCTTACATTCCTCTTTGTCTTCGAAGCTCAATCATCGCTGACCACCTGCGATCGATTAATGGCTGCTTCTTCTTCTTCTTCTTCTGGCCTTCCTTGGAAATACGATGTGTTCATCAACTTCAGAGGGGAAGACACTCGCAAGATCTTCATCGGCCATCTCTACAGAGCTCTGCGTCAGAAACCAATCAACACCTTCATTGATTCCAAAGAGCTCAGAAAAGGCGACCGCCTTTCCGAGCTCCTGACGGCGATTCGAGAGTCCAGGCTTTCGATTGTAGTTTTCTCTCAAAATTATGCTTCTTCCACTTGGTGCTTGAAAGAACTCGTCGAAATTCTGGAATGCAACGATAACAAGAACCAAATTGTGGTCCCAATTTTCTACGAAGTCGATCCATCCGATATTCGTAAACACAAAGGAAGTTTCGCCGAAGCTTTTGATCAGCATGAAGGCCATTCTAACGCCAACATGGAGGAGGTGCGGAGCTGGAGGTCCGCCCTTACTCGAGCCACCAATTTATCCGGCTGGGATTCGCGAAACTATGAGTAATTTCTAATTTGCTTTACTTTCCTATTAATTTTTGTAACGTGATGGCGTCATTTGATAAATATTTTGTTTCAAGTTTTTAATTTTTAATTTTTAGTTGTTTAAAATTAATAGATGAAAACTTGTGATGGGGCTACAATGGTATGAAATACTCAATACAAGTTTTATGCAAAACAATTGTAAAGACCCATTAGATCTCTATATGCAAGATCTAATTCGTAATTTTTGAGACTATTATATAACATGAAAGAAAAATTGAAAAACTCATTTGATAACTACTTTTAATGAAACTAAAAATTTATGGCCAAAATTTTAAAATCAAAAGTCAGATTTTTTATTTTATTTTAAAAATGAAAACAAAATAACTATCAAAATGACCCATGAATTATTATTTGGTGGTGCTATTATAATATTCTTAAAATTTGACAGGGATGATGCAAAGCTTATTGAGGAAATTGTAGAAGATGTTTATAGGAAATTGATCCACATCTCATCAACTTCAAGCAAAGATAATGAATTGGTTGAAATGGATTCTCATATGCATGAAATGCATTTACGATTACATCTTGATCCTCCTGGCGTGGAATTGGGTGATGTTCGCGTTGTTGGAATATGGGGTATGGGTGGTTTAGGCAAAACAACCATCGCTAGAGCTGTTTATGATGAAATTGCTTGTCAATTTGAAGCTTGTTGCTTTCTTGAAAATGTCAAGGAGGGTTTTATGAAGCATGGTGAACTCCATATGCAGACACAACTTCTATCAAGTATCTCGGGCAACAAGGTGGGGAGTTCCGACATATCGAATAAAGGTTTCCTGGTGATGTTAAAAAGATTTGGTCACAGAAAAGTTCTTCTTGTTGTTGACGATGTAGACACATTAGAACAAATTGAAGCCTTAATCGGAAAGCAGCATTCTTTTGGCGATGGAAGTAGAATCATTATAAAAACAAGGAATGCGCAATTACTAAGCGGAGCTGATGCGATATATAGGCCCAAGAATATCAGTGATTGTGGAGCTCTGGAACTTTTTAGGCAGTACGCCTTTAGAACAAACCAACCCACCAGAGATTATGATGATCTTTCGAGGCGTGTCACACAATATGCTCAAGGTCTGCCTTTAGTACTCAAAGTCTTGGGAGCTTTTCTTGATGACAAAACTGTACGCGAGTGGGAAGATGTGTTAGAAAAAATAAGGAAAATCCCGCATAGGGGAATTTATGATGTGCTTAAAACAAGTTTCGATGGACTAGATGACACAGAGAAGGACATCTTTCTAGATATTGCATGTTTCTTTAAAGGGATGAAGAAAGACTATGCAACCGAAATTATGGACAGTTGTGGTTTCTATCCTCATACAGGAATAAGAGTTCTAATCGATCGGGCGCTCATAACTGTCTCAGGGGAGGGGGAACTGGAGATGCATGATTCACTAGAGGAAATGGGCCGGGAAATCGTCCGCCAAGAATCTATCAAAGAGCCTGGGAGACGAAGTAGATTGTGGAGCTATGAAGATGTTCATCATGTGCTAACTCAAAATACGGTGAGAAATATTTTTCTTATGCAATTGTTGGTAGAAAGCTTCAACTTTTGATCAAAATCTATTTCTTAGGCCCAGTTTAATAACCATTTTTGTTTTCAATTTTCAATTTTTAGTTTTCATTTTTTAATAATTGAAAATTGAAAACAATTACCAAGTTGAAAACTAAAAACGAAATGATTATCAAATTGCTCCTTAAGAAACGAGCATTAATTTCTTAATGTGAGCTAAGGTTCTCTGTTTTTTCCTTTACTTTGATTTGCACAGGCTACAAAAGCAATTAAAAGCATAATCCTGGATTTGTCGTGCTCAGATTGGGTGTGCTTAAATGCTCGAGCTTTTGCTAATATGACTCAACTAAGACTTCTCAAGATCAGTTATGAGTTCCCCTACTCAAATGATGATTACTGCAAACAACACCTGATTGGGCACTTGAGGTTTTTTTCTCATGAGTTGAGGTGTCTCACCTGGTTTGGATTCCCCCTTAAGTCTTTGTCATCCAACTTTCAGTTAAAAAATCTTGTTGGCCTTGACATGCGATATAGTCTCATTGACCGACTTTGGAATGGAACCCAGGTACGCACAATCATCATTTAAATGTATATGTTTCTTTTAAATGTCTGGGTTCTGAGATGTCTTATTAAGTAATGCATGTTTTTCTAAATGTTCTAACAGATGCTGGAAAAGTTGAAATTCATCGATTTAAGTTATTGTCTATACCTTAAAGAAACCCTTGACTTCAAAAAGGTCCCAAATCTTGAGAAGCTAATTCTTCGAAGTTGTAGAAGTTTAGTTGAGGTTCACCCATCTATTTCGACTCTTACAAACCTTGTTTTATTGGATCTGGATGGGTGCGAGAAACTTAAGATTATAGCCAGCGACATTTGTACGAAATCTCTTAAAACCCTTGGTGTTTTTGACTGCCGGAGTCTTGAGATCTTTCCAGAGATTTCAGAAGTTATAGACAAACTATTCGAACTTCATTTATCCGGGTCAAAAATTAAAGAGTTACCCTCGTCAATTAATAATCTCACGGGGTTGCGTCATTTGAACCTGAAAGACTGCAAGGAACTTAAGGGGGTGTTTGTTTCCCCTCACTAAAGTTCATTGGACTGGACTGGACTAAAGATTAGTCCAGTCCCGCGTTTGTTTCCTGGCTGGACTAGTTTTAATGGGATTAGCCAGGACTCGCTTTCACTAACAACCTCACTAGCCGTTCTTAGCGTGACCCCTCGAAAACTTCTTCGTCCTGCTCGACTCACCTCCCCGACCTCGATTTCGATGGCATAAGCTTAAGGTGTGGCTTCATCTCTGATGACGAACTCGTCGACGTCTTCATCTCCGACGAAGACCTCGTCGACTGGGTCATCTCCACCATCTTTTTCTCCTTCGCTGCTTCGCTATTGCCATGGTCGTGGGTTTCAAGCTACTGATTTTGGCTTTGCCTTCGGCTTGCCTCCTCATCGACCAGGTTGTCTCCGCCATGACTGCTTCGCAATCTCAGTAATTTTTTTTGTTTTGGGTTTTTGGGTTTTTTTTTTTTTTTTTTTCTGGGATTTGCAGGTTTAATTGGTTATTGGAAGGCTTGCCTTTCTTTTTGGAATCTCTTAAGGCTTGGCAAATGGTTAACTAACAAATTCTCTTAATTAAACAAGAAAATTAAGAGATTAATGCATAATTTGATAGAGAGAAAATGATGGAGAAGAGAAATGAGGAAGGCTAAAGGAAGGAAGGGGAAAGAAAATTTGCTTAGGTCCATTCATTTCCAGACTTCACTGCCCTTTAATTATTAATTTTTGTTTAATTTTTAATCCAAAAGTGAATTAAAAATGGCAAAAAAAATATATTATGTGACTTAGTCCGACACTGCACCAAACACTTCACTAAGCTAGTCCAGCTTAGTCTAGTCTAAGCCAGTCCAGCTTAGTCCTTGAAGCTAGTCCAGTCCAAGACAGTCCGGTGCAACAAACGCACCCTAAGAGTCTTCCTCGCACCATTCGTTTGAAATCTCTCAAAACTCTTGATCTTTCTGGCTGCTCGAGTCTTGAGATGTTTTCAGACATTTCACTTATGATGGAACTATCAGAGCTTAATTTATCCAGGTCAAAAATTAAAGAATTGCCCTCGTCAATTATTAATCTCACGGGATTGCATCGTTTGGACCTAGAAGATTGTAAGGAACTTAAGAGCCTTCCAAGTAGCATTTGTCAACTTGAATCCCTTAGAAATGTTAATCTTTCTGGTTGTACAAAAGTTGAGCTTCATTTGGATGGAACATCTATTGAAGAGCTTTCCCCCTCGATTGAACGGCTTCAGGGGCTTGAGGTATTACATCTGAGAGACTGCAGAATCCTTGTGCATCCCGGTGGGTGCACAAATCTTTCTGAATCACCTGTCACCTTTGAAGATTTAGTACGCTTGTGGGATAGTGCAGTAGAAATTGATAATTGGGATACCGACATTTTGACATGTGTACTATACTCCTAAACATCATCGGCATCCAATCGGTCACTATGCAGATTGTGGGATACGAAGCTCTGTTTTGAAGCAATCAATAGGTCTCCATGCCACGTGGGGCGGCTTTCAATTGCTTATGTGATTATGTCGCCAGGGAGAGGTACATTGTTGCCTATCTTTTCGTATGGGTTTGGCGGGTTCAATTGCTTATGTGCTGCTTTTATTTCTTATACTTTTGATTTGTGCTCGTGCAGAAACTGTGAAGATATTGCAATGTCATAGGTTGTTGCTAACTTGTTAATGCCACCGGTGCTCCTCCAATTTGGGTGAAAGGTACTTTGCATTTCCTTTAATCTTAGTACTTCTATATCTGCAAATAACAGTGGATGAGCCCTCTGGATTGTGTAAATGACTATATTAGTCTAGATTAGATTTCTTTTTTGGCGTAACTGGGGTATAATGACGGTATTTTCAATTGCTTGTCGTATGCATCATCAACACATTCTGCATACATCTGTAGATTTGGTAGTTAAAAAATTTTCCTTTGAAAGAAATCAAAGAAAAATGAAGCCTTTTAAGTTTTACAGAGCATTGCATAGTTGACGTCCGCCTTGCTTTAAAAAATACAACCGAAAGTTAACAACTCAAACTGTTCAAAATATCCCCATCTGTGGACAGATTACTTGGTACACGTTGTGTTGTGATTACTTCCCATTACGTTTTTTTTTCCACCAATCTTTGTGCACCATTGATGGTGATGCCAGTTTTAGTTGTATGCTCACATAAAACTGACTTTATTGACTTTGTCTGTTTGGATTTCTCAACCAGTTAGCCAGACTAGATTTCATATGTCACAATCACACATGTGTCAAGCCAATTTCTCCAGTTATTTGTAGAGGACATATGTTAACAAAGCTTGTCCGACTCTCCCCAACTCCTCCCCAAATACTCAAAGTCCCCTCAGCAACCAATGTTTGTTTCTCACAGTCGCTCACAATTCTACCGAATGAATAAGTTGCCATGACTCAATCCGCTGCAAGCACACTCCAAACCCACCCTCATCATCAACTCCATAGTTTCACTTAAACGTATTTCGAATTGAAGTGCAGTTCACTTATTTGGAGTTGTTCTTTTATCTATTAATATTATTGTTCAGAATTGAATGAAGAGAGGAGGTTGATGGTGTACGTGGGAAACAATTCAACTGACCCTGATCCCAGCTCCTTGTGTTTGGAAGGAACTTTGGATTGCAGCGTTGTTGCCGGGAAGATTGTGATCTGTGACAGTGGTATTAGGCCCAGAGTGCTGGAGGGACAGGTGGTGAAAGATGCAGGAGCCATTGGTATGATTTTGGCAAACACAGCTGCAAACAGAGACCAATGTTTCTGTTTTGACACTTCATACAACTGTCACTAATGTTGGCCCTGCGAATTACCACGCCATAGTTTCGCAGTTCAAAGGTGCTTATGTGAAAGTTTTGACGTATGACTTCACCAGAGAAAATCAAAAGCTAACTTATAAGATCACCTTCACTACGAAATATCGGCTGGCAGTTCTGGAATGCAGAGGGTTGGTGTGGAAGGATGGAGTGCACAGGGTGAGAAGCCCTATTGTTGTAGTTTGGCTACCTCCACTGTGATTCATGCACTGGAGGTTTTTTTTTCTTTTTCTTTTGGCATGATTTACTTTCAGTGTGTGTGTTAATGCTTTTTATTCCATCTGAGCATTTCAGTCCTTGCAGTACATGAGCATTTCATTGTGAAAGCCCACAACTGGGGTACGTGATTAGGGTTATTTGGCACCAGCTGCTGCCCCTTTGTTTAGAGCAGATTGTGCGAAAAGAAAGCAGCAGCCGACAGCCCCCAAGAGAAGAAGAAGAGCTGCTGCCCCTCTTTGTTAGCAATCAGTCCATCAAAGTCGTAGTTGTTTTATTAGCTATGAGCTTTGTATAGAGAGGAAATTAATCATTATATTTCCTTCTCTATTTGTTTATTTGGTGTGTGAGAGCTATTGGGTGTATCTGGGGTTTTGAATTGTGAGGTTGCCAAACACTTTGTAAATTAATACTCCCATTTGGTTGATAGCGGACTATTGGTGAGCTCCTACTGCTCCGAGGACATAATCTAGTTACACTGTCTGTTGAGGAACCTCGTTAAATCTTGGTGTCTTTTCTATTTTATTCTTGCATTTTATTTGGTATAATTGTTGTGGGTTATCTTGAGTTGGTTTCCAAATGGTTTGATGCTATTCTTGCATAACAATTAGTATCAGAACACTGGTAGCTCTTGGGAACCCTCTAGTTGTTAAAGATGGCAGACAAAATAAGACCATTTTGGAAGCAACTCAGAGTTTGCAAGAACTACTGTGCAAAATGAAAAGTTTGAAGTGGAAAATTTTGATGGCACAAGCAACTTTGGGATGTGGCAATGTGAGGTTAAGGATGTGTTGGCTCAACAAGATCTACTTGTGGCTTTGGGAGATAAGTTAGAAGTTATGACTCGAAGTCAAAATGAGAAAAATTAGATTTGTGAGCTTGCTCTACAATTCAGTTGTCACTTGCAAAACCTCAGAAGTATTTTGTGATGTAGGAGTCAATGGCAAAGTTGTTGTCACAAAAATTAGAAGACAAGTACGTGACAAAAATTAGAAGACAAGTACACACGAAGAGTGTGGATAACAGACTACACTTGAAGAAAAAGTTGTACTGCTTCCAATATAAAGAAGGTACAAAGATGATTAGACTTCTTTATACTTTTAATAAGTTGATTGTTGATTCGATGAATTAGATGAAAATAAAAGAATGAAGATAAGATCTTAATATTGTTAAATTCTTTTCTGCATTCTTATGAGCACTTTGTTACAACTATCATTTGGGATTTGATCCTCCGTTGGAGTTGGTCTAACGAGTCTGGTTCTCAAGTAATTAGGTAGCCCGAAAGAGTTCAAGGTTTAGTGAGGAGAAGGAATCAAGTAAAAGAAGAAAGAATTTGACCCAGTGTAGCTTATATTGCAGTCACCATTTACAGTGGGGATATTGATACTTTGCACATTTCGGCAGTGAGTACCGACATTATCGACTTATTTCTGCAAAATAGGTCCGAACATAAAACATAAAGTTAACAGACACAAATTAATAGAATTATGGGCTGACAAACAGGAGCCAACTTCGCAATGAAAAGCTAAACACAAGAGCAATCAAAACGAAACACACCAAATATCAGTGACTCACAGCGGCACAAATTACAGAAATTAACCACCAACTCAAAACTCGACAGAGTCGCAAACTCCATTCCGCCAAATCCTCATTCTTTCCTCCTCCCAATTCCCTACTATTTTAACTCAACTCAATCTTCATGTAGTTTTGGTGCCAAGTTCCCCACAGATGCAACACCATATCCTCCCACCTCTCCTGGAGGGTGCCACCACCTTCTTCTCCTCTTCCTCCTTCTCTTCCTTATGGCTCGACTCCTCAAGATCACTCAAAATTGCTCCAACAGCGACCGCCTCCTCCTCCTTCCCTTCCACATAGCTTGACTCCTCAGGATCATTCAAACTTGCCCCAACACCCACTGCCTCCTTTTCCTCACAGCTTGAGTCCACCACATTACTCAAAGGTGCAGTGCCCCGAAACTGAGCCAATTCCCCCAAAGTGCTGAAAAATTGCAATTTTGGGTGGGAGCCGGTTGGACCATGATTGTTGTCCTTATGTATGCCAGTTCCCATCACGTCAAGACGCTTCAAATACCACAAGTCCTCAGGCAATCTAGAAAGTTTTGAGCACCCATTGAGAGTGAGCCATTCAAGATTTAATAGATTACAGGTACTGTCCGGAAGATAGACGAAGCTTTTGCAGTTTCTCAAATTTAATGACACAAGCCCCCGAAGGCGTTCAATTGATGGGGGAAGCTCTCTGATAGATGTCCTGTCCAAATCAAGACCGGTTAATTGTTCCATATTTTCTACAATGTCTGGAAACACCGAAAACTCTGTACAACCAGAGAGAGAGAGATAACTAAGGGATTTGAGCTGACAAATTCTGCTTGAAAGACCCTTGAAGTATTTGCAATACCGTAGCGTCAAAGTAACTAGACCCGTAAGTTTATAAATTAACGAGGGCAACTCTACAATTGCAATCCCATTTAAACCGAGCCATGATGGATCTTTCTTATCTCCTGAAAACTCACGAAAGTTCTCAAGATCTTGGGTGCCAAAGGTTCGAAGAGATCTCATATGATCGTCAATTGGTGAGTCTTCAATTGTAGTCCAATCTAAATGAAGCTCTGATAGGTTCTTCATAACTTTTTGAAACTCTGGAAGCTTCTTCAGATTTGAGCAGCCAGAAAGATTAAGGGTTTGGAGAGATCTCCAATGAATGCTGCTTGGAAGAATCTTTAATCTTCTGCAACCCTTCAGGTTCAAAGTAACAAGTCCTGTCAAATTCTGAATGGACGAGGGCAGTTCTGAAATTGCAGTGTCATCTAAGTTAAGCTCCAATAGGTTCTCCATAACTTCAAGAATTTCTGGAAACTGATACAGATTTGAGCAGCAAGAAAGATTCAAGGTTCGAAGAGATCTCATATGAATGATGCTTGGAAGACTACGAAGTTCTTTGCACTGTTCCAGACTCAAACTCTCAAGGTTTTTAAGAGATGAAATTGATGGACAAAGCTCTCTAATAGATGTTTTATCCAAACGAAGCTCTCTTAATCCTTCCATATTCCCTACATCTTTTGGAAACACCTCAAGCTTTGAACAACCAGAAAGATTAAGAAATTTAATGGACTTGAGTCGAACAATGCTTCTTGGAAGAATCTCAAGATCTCTGCAATATTCAAGGTTCAAAGCAACAAGACCTGTAAGATTGTTAATTGAACTGGGCAGTTTCCTTATTGCAGTACCTTGCAAATAAAGCTCCGAAAGGTTCTCCATAACTTCTGGAATATCTGGAAACTTCTCAATGTTTGAGCAAAAAGAAAGATTCAAGGTTTCAAGAGATTTCATACAAATGCTGCTTGCAAAAGTATAGAGGTTGTTGCACAACTTAGATCCAAGAGGACAAGTTTTTCAAGGGCTGAAATGGATGGGTGAACCTCATGTAAACTTGTACAACCCTCAAGAATAAGTTTCTCAAGATTTTTCGCCTTGGTGAAGTCGGGTGTTTCCATAAGACGATGAGAGCCTCTTAAATTGATAACTTTCAACTTTTCTAGAGACTGTCAAAACACATCCAGATAAACATGCATTACATAACAAGGCATCTAAGAACTAAACCATTTGAAAAAAAAAATAAATAAATAAGCAGATGATGATTGTACCTTAGTTCCTTTCCAAAGGTGTTCAACCCAACTATATTGCATGTCAAGATCAACAAGATTCTCCGGGTTAAAATTGGACGATAAAGAATTTAGGGGACATTTGTGCCAGAAGAGACAACTTAACTTTTCAGAGAGAAACTTTAAGTCCTTACACTCCCGTTGATCATAGTATGAGTGAACTCTAAGTAGTCTTAGTTCAGTCATTTTAGAAATAGTTGTATCTAGCTGTACCACATTGTCTGAGTCTGGCCAACCCACAACTATGCTTTCAACTGCTTCAGTAGCCTGAATAACCAAAGATTGAAAATTAAGGTAGTACAAATATACATAAACTTTTTGAAAATTATAAAGCTAATGCATGTTTTCATGAATTGGATTTTGATCAAAGTTTAGCCTTTCTACTAGTGAGTACTACAAAAGAAAAAGAGAGGTCATGAATATATGTCTCACTGTATTATGAGTTAACACATGACGAACATCTTCATTGTTCCACAACCTACTGCGCCTCCCAGGCTCTTTGATAGATTCTTGACGTACTATTTCACAACCCATTTCCTCTAGTAAATCATGCATCTCGAGTATACCATCAGATGAGATAGCTACAAGAGCTCTACCAACTAGCACGTCTAATCCAGTATGGGGATGGAAGCCACAACCCTCCATAATCCTTGTTGCGTAGTCTTTTTTCATTTGTTTAAAGAAACAAGCGATATCTAGAAATATTTCCTTCTGCAAACTATCTAGCCCATCAAAGCTTGTTCTAAGAACTTTCTGAATTCCCTCATGCGGGTTTCTCTTGATGTTCTTTAACTCATCTTTCCACACAAGTACGCTTTTGTTATCGAGAAAAGCTCCCAAGACTTTTAGTGCTAAAGGCAGACCTTGAGCATACTTTATGAAATGGCTTGACAGATCATTGTATTCTCCCGTGGGTTGTTTTGTACTGAAAGCATACTGCTTAAAGAGTTCAAGAGCCTCATCATCTTTTAACAACTCGGGCTCATAGATCTCACCAACTCTACTTAGTGATTGTTTATCTCTGGTTGTAATAATGATTCGACTTTTGCCACCAAATGACGGTTGCTTTCCAATTAAGGCTTCAATTTGGGCTGAATTGTCGACATTATCAAGAACAAGTAAAAGTTTTTTCTTACCTAACCTTTCCAACATCACCTGGAAACCATAACTCAAAATGTCCGAACTCCCAACCTTGTTGTTTGTGACACTAGATAGAAGTTCTGCCTGCATATTTACTGGTGCTTCACCTGCATCAACCGCTGGGAAACGTCCCTTGACATTTTCAAGAAAGCAACTAGCATCGAATTGATGTTTGATTTTGTCATAAACAGCTCTAGCAATGGTGGTTTTGCCTATACCACCCATACCCCATATTCCGACAAGGCGAACATCGTCCACCCGAGGACATAACAGCAAATCCATTTTCTGTAAGTGGGGATCCATTCCAACCAAGCCATTCTTTTCACTTGATGGTATGTTGATCAATTTCTTGAATATGTCTTGTACAATGTCCTCAATAAGCTTGGCATCATCCCTATGAAATTTTAAAAAGAGTATAAAAAAGGAGTTAGAGTAAGCCATAATTTCGTACTATTGTTAGTAAGATATGTATTGTCAGTTTGACATACTGAACTAAAACTTAATTTAGTTCTTCAAGTCAAGCTAGAATTTACTTTAACCTGCATATAAAGGCTCCATTTTCTGCATTTTTGTCAATTTTTATGTTTGTGACTATTGTGTTAATCAATTTGCACTTAACTTTTGATAGATGACAAAGATCTAGGCGGGTTACATGTTGTACTAGCATCATAGATATGTATCAACAATTATTTTTCACTAAACTAGAAGCCTAAAACTAATTAATTAGATTATAAAGAAGTGAGAGTACTAAAACTAGTTACTTGTAATCTCGTGAGTCCCAGCCAGATAAATTGGCTGCTCTAGTTAGAGCGGACCTCCAGCTCCATAGCTCTTCCATGCCGGTGTTAGAATCCTGTTCATGTTTAGAAAAACTTTCTGCAAAACTTTGCTGGAGTTTACGAACATGAGTTGGACTAACTTGGTAAAAAATGGGCACCACAATCTGTTCCTGTGTATCCATGCATTCCAGGATTTGGACAAGTTCTTTCAAGCACCATGTGGAAGAAGCGTAGTTTTGAGAAAAAACCACAATCGAAAGCCTTGAGCCATTAATAGCTGACAGTAGCTGTGAAAGGTCGTAGCCTTTCCTAAGCTTTTCGGCGTCGATGAAGGTGTTGATTGAGTTCTGAACCAGAGCTTTGTATAGATGGCTGACAAATATCTTGCGAGTGTCCTCGCCTCTAAAATTAAGGAAGACATCATATATCCAACGGAAGGCAGGGCCAGACGAAGAAGAAGAAGGATAAGCCATTAGCAAGCTCAAGATTGATTGCAGCTGGAGAAAGATGGTCGGCTAGCCTTCTAGTTGCAAACTTGCAATGCAAAGCACAAGTTTGATTCATGTTTCATGTTTCATCCTTGGAATCATCAATTCTAACTAGGAATTGATTCATGTTTCATCCTTGGAAACATCGTGTCCGTCTGTTTTTGGCTCTTTCTCTGTTTTTTCCCCCTTTGCTTTGGGATTTATGAACTACACTAAACGCACACGCACACGCACACGCACACGCGCACGCACATATATAAAGTACAGAATCTAAGATGAAATGCCTACAATATCCAAATACTAAGTAAACTTCAAATTTTGGAGACATTTTTTGGGACAAATTACTTACATGTTTTGTTGTGATTTGTGCTCTTTGCATGTTTCCTCTTTGTACACCGTTGATACTGATTCTAATAGGTTAGCCCCGGATACTCATGCACTGCTCCGGAACTCGGCCATATCGCCCAAAGTTCTGCAACATCGCTGTTTTGGGGGGGAACCGTTGGTCCTTGATTGTTGTCTTGATGTATACCAGAGTTCTGTCTACGTCAAAGTGTCTCAAATACCACAAGTCCTCTGGCAACGTAGAAAGTTTTGAGCACCCGTAGAGAGTGGGCCACTGAAGGGTTGCCAAATTGATGGTAGTGTCTGGAAGATAGACAAGTCTTTTGCAGTCGTTGAAATCTAAACCGAGCCGTTCAGTTGATGCCGGAAGCTCTCCGGTAGATGTTCTATCCAAATAAACCCCTCTTAATCCTTCCATATTTTCCACAATGTTTGGAAAAACCATTAGCTTTTTACCACCAGAAAGTGTAATAACTCTAAGGGACTTGAGTTGACAAATGCTGCTAGTAAGGCCTTCAATTGCGTGCAAAACCATATTGTCAAAGTAACAAGCCCCGCAGGATTATAAACAGACGAGGGCAATAGTAGTGGGGTGCCCAAAGGAACTTAAAATTCAAAGATGGCGGCTTAAAAAAATTAGCTTTCTAAAGATCCTTTTTGGGTGTAAATAAAACACTCATAAGAGTGAAATAATTTGGTAGTTTGCAATGGGGACCCAGCTAAAGCGCGCCAATTCACTTGTTTGGATGTATACAGGTCTCCGTGACAACGAGTTCGAGTCTGAGTCCGACTCCGATTCTGAGAAGGACCCATGAGCATGAGGCAGTCGGCTCCGTTCATCAGCATTTGATGAAAACAATTGCACAAGAGAAACCAGCATAGCCAAAAGTTTCCAAACTTGTAACCCTAAATTTAAATGGATTTCTAATATTCCGAGTAACCTAATAAACCTTGCGACGCAAGTCATAATTATGTAAGAATCGTTTGAGAAACGATTATTAGTGTAAATGAATGGGGTGGACCGTGGAGTGGTTGGAAACTTGGAGGACCTTTCCTTTATATAAAACTCTACTTTTGGGGTGGGGTGAGACTTTGGGCAATATATATTAATGCAATTGTAATCTCCTCAACGTACGTAAGTCAGTTATACAAGCAAAGCTGATGTGATATTAATAAACTTAAAACGAGCTGCGCCAGTGTATTAATTCGTCGCAAGGATTATCGTAGAGTTGATTTTTTTTAGTGTAAATTGGAGTATAGTTTATATTGAGATTTTTAGCTGTTAGATAATTATATATTAAATTAAATTTTTGATGGCAGATGAGAAGATCAAATTTAGGCTAGCAATGAAGGAATTATTTAGTGTAGTCGAAAATATTCTATACTTCAAAATTAACAATCATTAGATTTTTTGTCAAAATTTAAAAAAAAAAAAAAAGTTAACGATTAAAAACATACTCAAAGTATCATAAAATTTTCGAGCAAAAACTCTTAACATGATATTGATTCTTTTCACGTGTGATCATCTCATAAACAGTTAACGTTGTACGTTAGGTGGTTTGGAGGGAGTAATTTTCTAGTGTGCTCAAATCCAAGTTATACGTTACGTATTATTATATGAATAGCGAGAAGTTTTATTTATGTAAATTACTAATTAACATGCAAGTGACCATTTACCACAGTGACAGAAAAGTATTGAGCTATTACATGTCGACGTGGGTTCCAACTATAATTTACCAAAATTTTGAGCTATTACATGCAAATGACTATTTATCACAATGGCTAATCTAACATATAATTTATTAAAATTTATTGTTTGACAAAAAAAGGAGTTATTAATTAATACAAGTATTTCATTTTTTATACAATGACACATGATATATCACTTCATGTTTCAGCTGTACAGAGAAATCTTTCATAGAAGAGGGGAATATACCCAGCTAGGTTGCCACGTGGAAAGTGATGGTACATAGATTTCTTGGAATTGGATCCCCTCGTGAGGAAGTGGTGGGGATCCTCATGGTTCACTAACATATGTTTTTAAATTTTAATTTAACGGTTACAAACAGAAGTTTTTTTTAAAATTATAATAATTGTAGCTGTTGGATCAAAATCTAACGATTCCTGTTAATGAATCATTTTTTATACAATAATATACGATGTATCACTCTATGTTTAGAAATCTTTCATGGGAAAGGGGAAAATGCCCAGCTAGGTGGCCACGTGGAAAGTTGACGGTACATGGTTTTCTTGGGTTTCATGTGATCTTTTTGTTTTCTGCAAGCAAGTGACAGATCGGTTGTTGTCGATCACCACGTTGTATTTCTTTATATTATAATTCGTTTTATTTGGATATATGCTACCAGCTTTGTTTGTATTTTCTGAAACGAATTTCCTCTGCCCTTCCACGACACTGTATATGACCACATGATAGAAAGTGGAAACTCTATCCAGCCACACGTGGAATCTTATAAATACGTCAATAACTCTCAACGTGTTGCAGTTTTTATTTGATTAGAAACATAATTGTGTAAAGACATAACGTGTGAGAAATATTAACATAAAATTCTTAAAACTTTTTTTTTTCTCTCTCTCTCTCCATCCTCTAAATTTATACTGCAGCATAATTTTTTTTATTTTTTTGTTGGATCAACACATAAAGTTTGACATTTGGAAGTGGAAGGAGGAAAGTTTTAAGTTAGAATTTTCATTCAGGAAAAATTAAAGTTGGAAAGATATAACTAAAATATTTCAAATAAGAATTGTCAAACCTAGCCAAAGGAATCAAAGACTTGGAAGATGGAAGGAGTCCATTGTTTGGTACGCTCCCACATTTTGTGCGGGTTTGATTTTTTGACAAAATGGTACGTTTCGCGTCAATTAGGATTATTTTGACGACTAACCATTATTAATTGAATCTTAAAGGACGGTTCGCAACTAGATTTAGATGTGGCTAATTAGTTAGGTCTTCTACCGTAATTTGAGTAAATGTGATACTGATACCTATATATATATATATATATAAGAATTCGGTAGTTTAAATCTAATACCTAGAACATACTTCTACATTGGTGTGAATTTAATAACCGAGAGTCATAGTTTAGAACTTACTAGTTTATCAATATTACACTCATTTAAATATATTGGTATCACACTTAAATTTTTCGACTTATTATTAGAAGAAATTTTGGGATGTGACCATAATCATGTGTCCGTGCATACCCTAGACAAAACTCCCAAATAACCCACCAATATCTCATGTAATGACCCCACCCCCTCACACCACCTTCATGGCCCACCACATACGAGTGCTGCATTCAAGATATTCATCATTGTAAAAGTGTGATTGCTATATGAATCTAATACATTGGTATCACATTCACATTTTTTTATCTTTGAAAAACAATATGCACTGTTTTTGTTTTTATCACTATGTGTTTTAAACTAATAAAGTATCTATAAATTCTTTCATAATTTTGTTGATTGGAAATCTTTGAACCTCTTTTGTTTTCCCACGCAGTAGCAGCCGATACACTTTTATTCTGCATTATCGTTTGTTTACCAATGATTCATGATGTGTCTGGTAGAGTTGCTTTACAAATTTCGATACAGCTGATTTAGTTTGCAAATAGCCCCTAATACATGGACTAATATATGATCATTTGGTCGAGTCTCCAGCTTAATTAAATATCATAATTTTTCAGTCAACTTCATAATAATATTCAAATTCATAACCTATCTGTTTAAATATAAAATCTCTGTTAATAATAAACAAAGAACACACAAACCCACCCGTGGACAAAAAAAAAAAAACAAATATATATATATATATATATATATGTATATGTAAATTCATAGTGCGTCCGATCATCATAAAATATGCAATTAGCTAGAGTCATTACAACTATTATATTATATTTATTTATCATATCAACTACATCAACTAATTAGGTCGGTATTTTTTAAGTATGAAATTATGCATTTTCTTTTAACATTTATGTGACATTATATTTACTATAATGTTTTTTCCTATGTGTAAAAATGTTTAAAACCGATACAAAATGGAAGGTCATATAACTCCAGAAACGTTATTCTTATTATCTAGAGATAAAACGTACATATATTAACCAACTTTATTTTTATTACAAAGATGGTACAACTAATAATACAAAGTAAGGAAAACTAATAAAATATACTTAAAAACTTTGAATTTTAAAGATAAGGATAAAATAAAGGGTAAAGTAAATAGTATTATGTTTGATTTTTTAACGTAAAAATATAATTTTTTATTAAAATTAATAGTACCACGAGTTTTTCGTTAAAACTCCTTACAAAAGTAAACGCTCAATGTGCATAAAAATGACCAATGATGAGGAAGAAGGAAAAGTCTACTAAAATAAATAAATTATACTTTTTCATACAAATAATAAATAAATAAATAAAATCATCCCGAACCGAACCATAAGGGAATACAGAAACGAACAGCTCGACAACTCGAAACACTTTCTTCTTCTTCCTTCAACTCCTCTGACTGTCGCAGTTCGCAGAGATTCACTCTTAAACGAACTCCAAAGTCTCAATCTTTATGTCGTTTTGGTCCCCACGATGCGCCAATTCCTTCACTCCCCATCGCCATCGCCGGCAGCTAGTCCTCAGCCTCAACCCCACGTCAGCAGCCGCTTCCCCCACCCTCTCGCCGCCGCCTCCGCCACCACCGCCTTCTCTCTCCTCCTCTTCCTCCTAGTCTGCTTCCGAAAAAGCACCCGTAAGCGGACTGCCCCGGAATCCGACTCCAAGCCCCCCCACCGGTACTCCTACTCCGTCCTCCGCCGAGCGACCGACTCGTTCTCTTCGACGCGCCGACTCGGCCAAGGCGGCTCCGGGTCCGTGTTCTTCGGCACAATCCCACACACCCACCAAGACGTCGCCGTCAAGCTCATGGACTCCGGGTCGCTCCAGAGCGAGCGCGAGTTCCAGAACGAGCTCCTTTTAGCTTCCAAGCTCGATTCACCGCTCGTTGTCTCGGTGCTCGGATTCTCCTCCGACCCCAAACGGCGGCGTATGGTGCTGGTTTACGAGTTTATGAGGAACGGGAATTTGCAGGACGCGCTGCTGAAGAGGAAGTGCCCCGAATTGATGGAGTGGAGGAAAAGATTCTCAATTGCCGTTGACGTAGCGAAAGGGCTGAGATATCTTCATGGGTTGGACCCGCCGCTAATCCATGGCGATGTGAAGCCGAGTAATGTGCTGCTGGACGGCGGCTTCGCTGCCAAGGTCGCCGATTTCGGGCTGGCGAGGCTGAAATCGGAGAATCAGGTAGTGATTGAGATTGATGACGCGCCAAAGAAGGAGGAGCTGGAGAGCAATGGCGGGTGCGACTATGGGTCGGTGGTGGAGGAAACTGAGAGTGTGATGACAGCTGGGTTCGATGATTTAAACGTGGGTGTTGATCAGTCACCGGAGGATTTAGCGAAGGGTCCTGTTTCGGTTTCGCCGGAGACTTCGGTGACACAGCCGTCCCCGGTGTCACCAGAGGGGAATTTGCAGGAGGGTGGGAAGCAGAGGGTGAATAGGGATTGGTGGTGGAGGCAGGACAGTGGGGTGAAGGACTATGTGATGGAGTGGATTGGGAATGAGATTGGGGCTGATAGGCCGGTTGGAACTACTGCTTCCGGTTCAAGTAGCGAAATGGTTGGGAAATTTAAGAAGAAGAAGAAGAAGAATACGAAGAAGAGGTTGGAATGGTGGGTGTCAATGGACGAGGAAAAGAATGCGAAGAATTCTAACAAGGAGAGGAAAAGGCCTCCCAGGGAATGGTGGAAGGAAGAGTACTGCGATGAGCTTGCCAAGAAGAAGAAAAAGAAGGATAAGAAGCAATCAAAAGGAATGAGCTTTGATGAGAATGATGACAATTGGTGGGCACACGACGAGGAATTGTATGCGGAGAGTAAGAAGAAGATCAAGAAGAGGAGTAGGACCAAGAGTTGGGGGAGTGTGAGTAGTATTGATTGGTGGTTGGACGGAATGCGGCATAATGCTAGCCATGATTCCGGGGAAATTCCAATGAGTGGCGCCATGAGTAGTACTCCGAGCATGAGAGGCACAGTTTGTTATGTTGCTCCTGAATATGGCGACGGTGGTGATCCGTCTGAGACGTGGGATGTTTATAGTTTTGGAATTTTTTTATTAGTTCTTATCGCCGGAAGGCGCCCACTTGAGGTCACAAATTCGCCTCTATCTGAGTTCCAAAGGGCGAATTTGTTATCGTGGGCGCGCCATCTTGCCCGTGCGGGGAAGCTTGTTGATCTTGTTGATAAGTCCATTCAGTTCTTGGATCAAGAACAAGCGATCCTTTGCATTACCGTGGCATTGGTTTGCTTGCAGAAAGTGCCTTCTCGCCGCCCTTCAATGAAGGAGGTTGTGGGGATGCTGACCGGTGAGTTGGAACCACCCAAATTACCGCGTGAATTATCCATTTCGGCTAAGTCACGCTTCCCATTTAAGTCTCATACAAATGTTCGGTGAGTTTCTAAGCGTTTCTGTCATTAACATAAGCTGGTATACTGCTATAGTCTATAGATCATTGCTTCATCATTTTTTGTGGATGATTTATGTACTGAAAGAAGGGAAAAGGAACAGTTTTTACTTGTATTAACTTAGGATTTTATCAATGAATTTGAATTATTGGAATTTATTTCATTTGCTCGTCTTTTACTGCTACGGCCTACAAATCAAAATGTTTTTTATTTCATGTGTAATCATAATTTGGTGTAAAGATAGAAACATCGTCACTTTGTCACATTCCTCCTGCACTGACTTGGGAATTCTGAGTTTACTTTTTCCGGCCCGTGCTTTTAGCAATGAGGCCAGCCCTACTCATTTGAATCAGTTTCCTCGAAATTGAACTACTACGAGTTTACTTTTTCGGAGGATGGAAACACTGTCACTTTGTCACATTCCTCTTGCACTGACTTAGGAACTCCGAATTTACCTTTTCGGAGGCGGCCCTTGCTTTTAGCAATGAGGCCAGCCCTACTCATTTGAATCAGTTTCCTCAAAATTGAACTACTAGAAGTTTATATTTTCAGAGGATGGAAACACTGTCACTCTGTCACATTCCTCTTGCACTGACTTAGGAATTCCGAGTCTACTTTTTCGAAGGCGGCCATGCTTTTAGCAATGAGGCCAGCCCTACTCATTTGAATCAGTTTCTTAGAAAACTATTACTTGCGTAATGAAATTTCTTTAGTTGACCCCTCCCCCATTAAAGAAAAGGAAAGGCAAAAAAAGAAAGCAACTTACTTTTTATCATCATTTGAAATTTTGGCCAGGGTAGTTGTGATTCCTGTCTCCAGCTTTCTGTAGGTTGACTATGCCTTTTACATACATTCCATTTTTCACCTTCATACTTGGTAATGATAGGGAGGGAAAATTTTTGGATAAACCAGGGTATTGGAAGAAGGGCGATAGAAATTTGAACACGGGCGAATGCATAGAAATTGTCCCATGATGATGGCATAATGTAGTTTTGCTCTGTTCCTAAGATGGTTCCGTAAATAGGTATTTTTCCGCGCAGCTCCATCAGTTGTGCAGATAAGCGCATAATTCTGAGGCATGCTGTAGTTCAGGGATATGGCATGTTTATTATTGAGAAACTGGATAAAGATTTCTAACTTAAACCATAAATCTGGAGTTTGCTGTCTCTGTGTTTCGAGACCATGTTCTTTCCATTTAATTTCTTCCGGTACCAATGTGTTCTTGTCGATGATATTCCTTTAGCTCGACTGTACGGGTTAAAACCTCGAATGTGATATTTTAATGTGTAAAGGCTTTTCGGTGAAATTCCGTCGTCTACAACCAATTTATTCCAGGTTGAGTTTTGTTACAAGAGATGAGATTATTATAGCTTGTGACTCGCTTGTGCCATGCTAGTATTTTTTATGTTTTCTTCTACATGTTACCGGCTTTGTCACCCATGCGCACATGATACTTGCAGTTGCGGACAAACTCCTTGCGGACCATTATTTGTCAAAAGAGCGTGAGACTAGCTAAATGTAGCCCTTCTCTTAGCTTTTTTTAGTTGCTCAGCTCATCAGTTACAATAATTGATTCAAATTTAATGGCTAGATTTAAAAACATCCCAAGGTAGTTTAATTAAATTAACCAATAAATAAGGATAAGCTTAAAACTAATAACTTATTGAGTGAGATATGTTTAGCCCTCTTCGGTTGGAAATGGTCTGACATTATTTATTTAAAAATAATTTTTTACAAGGCTATAATTCTGGACGGGGCTATATCTAGCCCTTTCGGTTGGAGATGGCCTAACATTTCACATGCTACAGCCTTGGAAGAAACATTGATGCTAACATTTTTAGGAGACCGTTAATTAACTTAATTTTGTGTTGCTTGATAAGGGATTGTTCTCGCGTTTCATCTCTATTTTATATGCAGATTAGTTTGTGTCTGTTTGGACCCAAAATTACACAATCGGCCCGAACGATCGAGGCTATTGAGTGAAAGAAATTCTAAGCCGTTAAGTGACTGAGTCAAGATAATTTTAGTTATTGTTAAGGAATAATATTGTGACTTTTATCATAATAATTATCTCTTAATCATATATTGAATTATCTAGAGCACAACTGAGTGATAAAATCGTGGTGATTTGATACGATGCTATGTGAATTAATACTGCTGCAATCTTGTGGATAGATAGCATGACTATCATGAATGGAGTTAGAGTATGGCAGACTATCTTCCATGCATTTATACAAATACAATGGAGATAAAGATGGGATCGTATTATCATTGGAATTTGATCAAAGTTAGCTGGCTTAGGTAAAGATGATCTGATGACCATTGTTGGCTGGTCAACGAGGTGGAGGAGATTAGGTTACTCATCCAGCACATGGTAACTTGCTTGGATAATTAGCCAATAAAGGTGGTGTTTATTTTATGAACCCATGCACGTGAAAATATGGGATAAAAGATGGCATATGCCATTTTATCCGGTTGTGATTTCACCTGATGGCGCGGCAATTGAGATTGGGATAAAGGATGGTTGTGATTTATCATCAAAGATGGTTGGATGTTCACGGTTAGGATTCTACAACATATCTAAGAGTTTTGATTCTATAAATATCGAGAGGCAGACAATTAAAAAGTCCCCTTCATATCAACACACAAACTGTCCTATGCAAACTTTTGTTTTACACTAAACCTCTCAACAATCTTGAGATTTTTATTTTTTTTTCCCGCCGACACACCTTTAGTTTGGATAAACAACATTGGAGCCGTAGAATCACTGGATCAAGGAGCACCTTCAGTTTGGATAAACAACACTGCTTCTCGGCTGACTAATTACCTATCCAAGTCTCGGTCGACAAGGATTTTCAAGTCCTTGTTGGTAGAGGTCATCTCATCAGCCTTCTTGGCAAAGTGAGGTGTTACTAGGTTACTATATTCGGCAAATTGAAAGCGAATCTGATATTGAACTTCGCAAAACTAGTAGCATTATCTTCAGACTCTAGAACCAGAAGGCCGAGACGTGTTCCTTCCTCGGCCGCAATTGCAAGATCAAGAAGTCAGCAGCGTGCTCAACGCAACATCTACACATTTTACGCCCCGGGCGAGCTTGGCCGACGAGTTGGCATGCCCTGCACACAACTGAATGACATAGTTAGCTTATTAATTACTCGGTCTACGCGCCACGTAGGGTTGGTAGTTTTTAGGGTCAACAGTGTCACTATGGAACAGACTGGTGTTCTAATGCTCCGTTTTGTAATTGTTTTTTTTTTTTTTTCCAAGTAATTCCGATTTTTAGGTGACTTTTGATGTGTGGTGAAATATGTGGAGAAGGGATTCCGAGGTGAGCAGATTTGGAGAGTTCTAGTTGTCTTCCAACCATGACGAGATTTCGGAGTAGGCTTTCTCGAATGTATCATATATCGACTGATCTGAGGTGCTTTGAGAAGCTAAAATAACAGTGGAGCTGCGCGGTGGCATTCAATGTTAGCCAGGGAAGCTCTCTGAGAGGCTTTGGGGAGGACTTGCTGATGACTCGCCTCGAACGACCGATGTGTCTGCTGGAAGCAATGAACTTTTCTAGCATTGCAAGTCTTTCGGCTGATGACTGAATGGAAGCCCATGGAATGGATTGGGCCCGAAGTTGGCAATTCAAATAGGGGCTAATGGGCCCATTGATTTTGTAGATGGTGATGATGGGCCTTCATACTTGTAAACAGCATGTCCCTTGACATAACTTATAGAGACTGAGTTAGGGAATATTTTTTGTTTTGTTGAACAAACGGTATTATCTATATTAAATGGAAAATGGGTGAGTTTAGCCTTACATTGAGCTAACAATAATGTGGTTCAAAGTCGCCTTTAGCGAGAATCGAACCTAAAACTTCTCACTTACGAGTGAAGAGGAATACCACCAGACCGTAATATTCAACTCGAACCTAAGACCTCTCATTTACAATTTATTATTTAGTTGACTCGATAATTCTTTGATTTGTTTAATCAAAATATTATTAAAAATTTAGACAATCAAGTGGCGTTCTAGGATTCATACAACCGAGCGCAGTGGCGTTCTAAGTTTCATACCGTGCATAATGGTATTCTAGCATTCATAGCTAATGAAAGATTTGGCGTAAAATTGAGCGCAGTGACGTTTTAGGTTTTATGCAACTCATTCCACATGGTGGATAAGGATGGGTGGTTGTTATATTATTAAAAATTCATGATGTGTCACTTACAGAAAATAAGTACGTTAATCAACACTTAAGTAATAATTCAATCATCAGCAAACGCATCATTTAGGTTACCAAATTTGATCTCCCTAACATTACCTAAAATTTATACAATCAAGTGTACAGGAGGAGAAAAATTGTTTGATAACATTACTTTCAACATGTAAATATTACATCAAAATAGCTCTGTGATATATTATGAATTGAAAGTTAAGATCAGCATGTTTGGAATTTATATTCGGTTGAAACAAAAATGGCATACAATGATCATTACTTTGAGATAATCTTAGAGACATGTCCAGCATCCATATGCAAAACTGGCTACGACCTTGCATATATACATACAGATGAGAGTGTGCCAAAGACGTGCGATAATCTTAGATATGTCAAATGGAGAATATTTGAGCACGCAAAACATAGCTAAACTCAAAATTACATATACATACATATACACGCTCAAAGTGAAGTTCTTCTACAATGGCCTTTGCATTCCATAACTTTATCTTGTAAAAAAAAAAAGTTCAAAAAGCTTCATCAATCACAAAGGTTTTGTTTGCCTTCCATATTCTAGTAGAGATAATTGAAACGATATCGGTAAGTACTTAAACCAAATAACACGAGGTGAACTGTAAGAACTTACGTTTGCATCATCACCAATTTTCAAAAGAGAAAATTAGAGCATTTCCCCTAAGCTTTGACCGAATTGAAATTTTGAGCTAAAATATCCTAAATTTGTCTCAATGTGGAGCAATGGTCATTTTTTGTAACATCAGTATAACTTATGTTCAAAATAAAAGGGTTTTAGAGGGGGTGAGGAGTAAATATAAGGGATGGAAGCTCTAATAACAGTCCAAAATGATCATTGCTTCACATTGTGACAAGTTTAAAGAACCAATGCTTAAGGAATTTTAGTTTGAGAACCGAATCTCCAATTGGGTCAAGTTCAGGGACTAATGCTCCAATTTTCATCTTTCTGGGGAACAAAAATAAGATTGGAGCACCATACTGGGGAGTCCAAGGCCAAAATGAAGGAACACAAGTTTTAAGTTACTTGGATATTCATCTAGATTGTGGAAGCACTTCGGCTAGTTTCTGTTCCAGCGCAGAAAGATCGATACTCTCCAGATCATTCACCTAAGATGTATGCAGTAAGAAGGATTGTAGTAATTTTAACGAACACGGCAATTTCAAAACCCTAAACAATATATTGACCAATAAATTAGGAGAACTTGATAAAGTACCTCGGACTGGATCGTATGAAGGAGTCTGTCATCTATTTTGGAGGAAACACAGCTCACAACACAAAGCCCTTGTTCAAGAAGCACTTCCAAAACCCTAGAAATTGAGAAGGGTAACCCTTCCTCTCCAGATCTGAAGCCGATGGTAGTACTGATCATGATTTGCACCCCACCGCAACATGGGTCGACTTTGAAACAGCTCAGCGATCCCCTATAGGAACTTTCACCACCATGGTCGTCAGAACTAGTATTAGAGCTACTTAGATTGGAAACCTTCTTCAGTTCAGCTCTCTTGGCGTCTAACCTCCTGATTCTGTTCTGGATGTGGTTTATATAATTCACAGCCTCGTTCGTGTGGTCAGATATCGAACGCTTTCCCTGCTTTCGAAAAGAATATATGTAAGTAACCCTAGTCGTCGTTCTTGCAGCTAGCCGCATGTTTTTTTTTTGTGTGTGTGTGTGTGTGTGTGTGTGAAAGAGAGAGAGAGAGAGAGAGAGAGAGAGAGCTCACCTTGATAAATTCAGGAGGAAGTAGGGATCTAAGTGAAGCATGTAGGGTACCCATTTCTTTCCGTCTCTGCCTTTCATTTTCCCTATGCATCAACGTTTTGTTCTTCTTGTTATGATCATTAGAATTGTGATCATGATCCATCATATAGTCCAAAGTAACCCCTAATTTCTGCAGCCGGCCTTTTCCCCTGTCGCCCTACCCACGAACTCCATGATCTTCTGAAATTGTGTGATCTTGGTGATGATGAGGATTAGATGAAATCTGGAAGACCAGCTTCTTGCTTTGTTGTAAAGGAAACATTACCAAAAATTCAGATGCATTGAACGGTCTTTTTTCTATGAATTTTGCAATGGAGGATTAAAGAACTAGATATGATCAATCTTTGATGGGCCTAACTAAGATGCCAAAGATTCCTTTCTTTCAAGTTTGACACTCTCTCTTCAGTTCAGATACAAGATGACTTGAGTACAGGTGAGAAAGAAGTGACCTCACCGGCCCCTTCAAAAAATTTAAATTATGCTCGTTGGCACTGTTCTTATGCACAAAAGTTAATTGCATTCACATTTGGTGGATGTCATACCTAAATCACACATGTTGTAAAACTGTGTTACTTGATGAGTGATCATTGTATCTCGGTTATTAATATTATTATTTTTAATTAGAAGAATTTTAACTGATCTATTCTTTTTGGAAGATAAGTAATTAAGTATGTAATACAATGTATAATTTATTAATTAAGTAATCAAGTACGTAATTTAATTATTAAAAGGAGGATAATATTGTACATGCATGCACTTGAACAGTACTTGGGGAAAGGTAGCAAATAATACAGCATAACGTCCAACAGTATCAAGAACAAGATTTCTTTGGGCTCTACTTTATGAGTTGGCCGAAGGAGTTGTTGATACTGTGCATTTTGAAACAAAATTATTTTTATTAATGGTCCAAGAAACAGCTAAGCTGCCTTCCCTAATTCTTTTTCCTGACAAAATCAAGCATCAAATCTACTATAATATGTATTTTTAGTGGTTATAATTGCGAGCTATAGATACTTATGTAAGGGAATAATCGTTATGAACCACTTAGGTTGCGATTACTGCTAATCAATTATTATTAATTTGTCCTTAACAAGTACATTGTGCAAGAAATTGCACACGAAAATCTTTACTAACCTTATCAGGTGGCAGACGGGCAAAGGTTTAAATAATTTTGCTTCGAGCTCACTAGGACTAAATACTTTTTAGGTTTGAAAGCTGCGTACACAAGGATAGTTCATTGAGAGAACTAATTAAAAGAACAAAACTTTGGAAGTTCATTGTCATTAATTTATTGGTTTCTAAACAATGACTACTATTTGGTTATGGGCAACAGATATATAATTGGGTCAGCTAAGTGCCTAATAGGTTACAAATGATTACAGCTTCGTTATAGGCAACATGTCATGATTAATGGTCAATTAAGTAGGCTGGGTTTTCTCCATGTCTCCGTCATGGGTAATCAAATGATCAAAATTTTAGAAAAAATTTAGTATAGTTCTCACTTCGTCAAATGATATTGTGCTCTCACTTCGTCAAATGATATTGTCTATTCACTTAATTAAAACAAGTGAACTTGTTTATAATTTACTATATTCTAATTAAGTGATGGAATATCAATAAACCTATATATATTATAATACATGAGTTACTAATACTTAGTAATGGTGTGATTTTCATTCTCAAACATTTCTATAAGAGAGAGAAAATTTTCATTGTGCTTGAATATAGGTGATACACTACGTGTCATTATACACGTAAAAAAAGGTTTCATTTTTCAAGCTATTAATTTTTTTTAACATAAAATCTCTTTTTTGTACAATGACATATTGTGTTCTACTCTCTATGATAGAGACACTTTGCATTTCTTTTAATTTATCAAATTGTTTATTCCCCATATTATTGGAATCGTGGGTTTGATGGGCCTTAGGTTTGACCTGCCGTGCCCTTGTTTTGATACATTTTAGACTACTATTCAACTGTCATATGATGAATTCAACAAGTTGATGGGATGAGAATGGGATCCTCGATCCTCTTTGAGATGGGAATAAGACGGTACTGTCTGTCTAAGTTTATCATCAAATCATAGTTACCTTACCAAACCATGGATTATCTTATAAATAAAGAGTAATGTTATCACACACTAAATTTTACTTTTCATATTCCTTTTAATTTTTAGCTGTGTATTGACTAAACCGAAAATAATTAATGATAAAAAATTAATAAGTGGATGTAAAAGATAAGAAAAATTATGTAAATAACACTATCCTAAACAAAGCATGTCTTTATACACACACACACATCATGCGTTACCATCTCTTAATAGGGCCAAGGTAATGCTTCGACATATCACATCTGCATTGCTTTTTGTATAAATGTAGAAAATAAAAATATAATGAGAGAGAGAGAGAGAGAGAGAGAGAGAGAGAGAGAGTGATAGACTTTATGAAATTACAAATATTGAGATGGAAAATGCTTAGTGACGTGACCTAGTACGTACTATATATCCCTACCAAAGTAAGCTTTAGTGTCCCGTTGCAAGCCCTAATCCCTCAACTTGAAATGGGTCTAGATCATGATGTCCTCAATATAAATTCAATCCGATGTCCCACATTCATATGCTTTCGATTACTTGGAAAATTCCCCGGTATGGTCACAATTGGGCACCACGTTGTGAGCAAATTAAAAGCAAATAGTTATCTACTATCAAGCAAATATTGTCATTTAAAATGTCTATGAAATATTCAGTACTAGGGTTTGGTGTTATTACTCTCTTCACTTGTAAGTGAGAGGTCTTAGGTTCAAATCTCATAGATGGCGAATTCGATACCAAATTAAATTGTCCATTGTGTGGCTTAACCGAACTTTTCCTCCCTTTAATGTAAAGTATATCGTTGTACTAAAAAAAATGTCCATGAAATACTGTATATTATTTAATCCTCAAACATGTATTATTTATTGTGGATATGAACAAATGTATATATTAGAGCATTCCAAATTGTTGATGCAAAATGTCTTGAAAGTAACATTTTATATATATATATATATATATATATTTTTTTTTTTTTTTTTTTTTGCCTGAAAACTCCCTAATGTAGAGGATGTAAATTATTCATCTTTATCGGCAGATATAAATAAAAATGTATAATTACACTTTTTTTACACCATTAGGAGGTGGATTTGCTAATCAAAGAGAAAAATAAATGAGATTAAATATACATTTTTCTCATTGGAGTTGAACTTATATATTAAGCATCTCCAAAGTGAGATATAAATGTGATTATTTTTCATCTCAAATTTGTTTATCTTCATTGAAGACGATGTTACATATAAAAAAACAGTTGAGATTTCCGTTATAAATACATAACAATAATCACAATTGACGCGCTACCCTTCTTACACTATTTTTAAGAAGGAAAAATTAGGTTCCAATCTTTAATTACCAATGCTAGATGAATGAATCTTGTTGATTTTTAGTTTTTGATCAAAATCTTTGGACTTTGTTCACATCATTTTTTTTACTAATAATGCATCTCCATGTCTGGTATTTTATTTTTTAACTTCAAAATTTTAATTTCATATTCAAATAAAAAACTAATTTATTTTCAAATTTCTTCGTTGAAAAACAATTGGTATTCAAAGCTAGGTAGTAGGTATTCATGTATCTCTCTCCCTCCCCCTCTCTTGTTTCTCCCCCTACACAAACCACATACATTCATAGTATTGGCATAAATTGTTAGATTTAATTGTTTTAAATGATATAAAAAAACAATTTCGAAATGTATGGTGTATTAAGAGTTCGGGACTTAAATAAAAAAAAAAAATTAGAACATATAAGATTTTAGTCTAAAGTTTGAATTGATTAGGGACCGCTTTCAAAGTGTCCCTTTTAAGAATTAGATAATCACTTCTAATTAATCTTTAACCTTCATCTATTTGCACTTTCTTTCACTTATGGGTAGCCTAATATGATATCAAATTCACCATCTACGAGATTCGAACTTAAGACCTCTCACTTCTAAGTGAAGATGAATACCACCATACCGTAGTATTGAATGACAACTACAATAAGCATATTATTATCATTAAACTTAAACATATTTTTATTGCAGACTTTTACCTTATTAGGTCAAATCGGGTAGAAAAGGCAAAAAAGAAAATGAAGGAACACTATCAAATTGCTAGTTGGCAGAGATATATATATAATATGTAAAACCCACGAGTCCCATGATCCAAATATTATAATTGATTTCGTGTTACTTGTAACCCTTACCAACTATCAACCAAATAATTAACAGTCAAGGTCAACTTGGGCATGTATAACACCTAACTAACAAATTAAAACTAGTTCAATGCTGCGGCTTAATTAGACGTTTTCACACTAGCGAATCATCGTACGTAGCTTGAACCTTGAGGCAATGACAATATCATCATGCAAGTGATCCATCACATGGGCCTTATAAATTGGTTTTCAAGTTTCAATGCCTTAACAATGTAGATTTTAGGTCATGTACTCTCACGCTTTGGAAACATCTATAAGGAAACAACCTTTTTTTTTTTTTTTCCTTTATTTAAACAACAAAGTCAACAGCATTGGCATCATAAGAAGGACAATTGAAGTCAATCTAAGGTAAATTTAATCATCTTCGGTTGGGTATTAACTTTCGCTCATTTTGTCCGAGTTTTCTATGGTGCTTTGGAAGCATCTTATATTCCAAAAATTTTACTACTAAATTCTTTATAAGAAAACAAAAACAAAAAACAACTAAGATCTAATTGCCAAAAATCCTAAACTATAAAATACTCTTATGCACAGTAGAATTTTCGCATTTTGTAAAGCAAAGAAGAATTTTGATTAGGTTAAATAAAAAAAAAAAGTAAAAGAAACAAACTGAAGGGGGCATAGCGGAGAAAAGTTGTGGGTGGCCGGGTTGCAACTTGCAATGTTAATTTCAACACAAGCAGAGTTCCCAACAAGCGACTTTTTAAAATAAAGAGGCCATTAGCGAGGGCAGGGAAGAGAATTTTTGGGTGAGTTTTTTATTCGAAGATCTAAAACCCTAACTAACGGATAAACTACTTTGCCTTCTTTTGCACTCTCAGAAAAAAAACCCTTGAAGAGCGTTTTGAGTATTCTAATATACAATGTTTTCTTCACAGCAAAGAAATATGAGAGTTGGTCTTCTGTATTTCATCTATTTATTCCTTCGATCAAAATAGAATCTCAGAAGATCTGTTCTTGTCACATGTACGCTGCTTCAATGGATGTCGGTATGTTCAATAACCTTAATACAGGAGGCCAGCGGAGAAAATCATCATTAGCGCCGACTTCATATGGTGCGAAAAATCAAGATAAGCCAAATGATGATGATGAGAAAAAGAAGATGATGCATAGAGAAATTGAAAAGAAAAGAAGGCAAGAAATGGCCAACCTTTATGGATCACTTAGATCCGTACTTCCTCTTGAATTTATCAAGGTAAGATGGAACCTTAAATGTTTCTTTTACTTGATTTCTCCCTACTTAGCATATTTTCCTTGTGATTAAAATACCCTAGGCACCAAAAATTATTTCTTGCTTATTAAACGGCCGTTTTTTGGGGAAAAAGATCGGTAATTGTGCATTGCTTTGTAAATTTTTTCTTGGGTTTTCATCAATTTTGTCAAAGTTTAGGGCTTTATCCTCGACCATAATCGTGTTGTTGGAATCTGTTAGGGAAAGCGTTCGTTAGCGGATCATATGAACGAGGCAGTGAATTATATCAAACACCTGCAAAAGAGGATCAAAATATTTGGTGCCAAGAGAGATGAGCTAAAGATGGGGTCCTCGTCCAATTTGAGTGCTAGGAATCTAGACCATGGGAGCAGTGGTAGCTCATCAACTTCAACAAGTACCCTAGTTGCAGTCCACCCTTGCTTAGCCGGCGTTGAGATTGTAGTCAGTACCGACGGATCTGCGGAGCAGTTTTTTCTCCTATCACGAATGCTGAAAATACTTCTTGGACAAGGACTCAGTGTAATCAGCTGTGCTACTGCCCAAGTTAACAAAAGGCTTGTCTACACCATCCAATCTGAGGTAGTACATCAGCTTAACTAGTTATCTGATCAATTCAAGATTACTTCATTCTTCTTTATGTGTAATTTCACAGGTTAGCGATCCAACATGCATAGACTTTTCTGGGTTGCAGCAGACTCTGACTGAAGTCTGTTATCATTGACTCCATTTTTCAAGTAACAACAAATACGTGTAGTTAATTAGCTGCGTTTCCTACCTGAACATTTCCATATGGTTCGAAGAGTGTCTATTAGTTTGTGGGTTTTCTTCATGGGAGAGACTCGTAGTGAAACTGATTAACTGAATTTTGCTCTGTTTGATTTATGTCTCATACTTCACCTTACGTACTGTAAGTATGGGTCATAAAATCTTTGAGCTTTTGGAGGTTAGGATCATGTGTTATATTGAAAGCCATATTTCCGATGAAAAATTTATATCAATTGGGTGCTGTTGATGTTGAATCTGTTTCAAGGATAGTTTCTTCTACGCAAATTGTTTTCTCAAGTTGTACTAATGATGTTGAATGTAGCATTTGTAATAGTTGTATACAACCATGTGCATATCTCTCCTCCCATCACGTAAGAGGCAAAAAATTGCTCATAAGTGTTAACTATTATTGATGGTTTAGTCAGAGATTAATGTATAATTCCTTACAAATAAAATGTTGCATTGGAAAGTTACGTTCAGGCCAATTGAAGAGACTTCTGAAGTGATATGAAGTTGTGAATCTTACAAATTGATTATGCATGGAGTATTACTATTTTTCGAGTGGGAAATAGTTATTTGGGTAAATTGAATAGATCGTTTGGCTAATAAGTGTGTGATGTTTTTACCATACGTTTTTATATAGTTGTGGAATGATTAAAAGTCTCAGATGTTATTAGTATAAAAAAAGAAAGTCTCAAATGTTTTTCTAACAAATTGACACAATTAAACACTTAAAATTGATCGGTGGGATCAAATCATCAATTTATACATGTGTTTCAGTTTAACGGTATAACTTCATGATATAGACACATGGGCTACTTAGATTTAAAATTATTAATAATTTTTGGTTCAATGGGATGACAACAAAATATATAAGACAATCTATAATCTGCATGTCTCGTAGTACTGTTTTGCCTTTAATTTGTCCTCACTAATAGAAGAAGGATAATTGAAGCATCAAATGAAGAGCTAAGCCAAGAACAATTCATATACACCACTAATCCTGATTTCCAGATGGAATGGATTTATTTTTGTCCTATGTTTTACTAGCAGACAGGACCCAAAATCTCTGAGTTCTCAACATGTCACAAAGCTGAAAAATGGCTACTTAAACAACAAGTCAACAGAACAATCCCAGTAACAAATTATAAAGACCCACCCTAACTTCACTATTAATCTCAACATTAATTTGCTAACTTAAACAAATGAATCTCCCGAACAAACAAGAAAGCAATTTAATTTTCACAAAAGAATATTTTTAGCTTATTCACTAGAAGGTATAAGCTCTTTATCCCAAACTTGCTACAATTATCTGTTTTGATTCGATATCTTGTATGCCTGGTGTAATAGCAGGCAATAAAAAATAAGCTTATTTGTAGCTACGCCTACTTTGCTCCTTGTAATCCAAAAATCGTCACTTTACTCATTGAAACTCAAAATTCGTTTCACTTTGCCCCCATGGAACTCTATTTTGATTCTTGTTTGCCCTCTAAAACTTGAAAGTCATCTCTATATAACTCAAAATGCGCTCCACATTGTCATAGTTCTGTTACCTAGTGTCTTGTGTGGTTTGATTTGGGTGAGCCAAGCTAATCAATTTCTTTTTTATTTTTTTCATCTCTTTAATTTCTTTTAAACTTAATATTCTCTTTTTATTGAATGTTGACGCATACTGGAGATTTGCACTCAAATTTATTGCAAATGTGGCATAGTCTTACTGGGTGTTGGGTCTCATATATGTTTTAAGAGGCGACTTATAAGTTTTAGAGAGAAGAGAGAGTTCACATGTCAAAGTTGAACAATTTTGAGTTCAGAGAGTAAAATGATAACTTTTAAGTTACAAAAGGCAAAATGAGATTAAAATGGAGTTCCAATAGGTGTAACTGGAAATATGCCTAATGTATTATTATAATTTCATATAATCCATTTTTACGCAAGTTTTTTCTTTTCAAAACGTGGCATGACATTTTATGAAATAAAAATGTATTAGATATACATGACAACCGACTGTGACATTCGTCATGTAGATACAATTATAAATGTCTAGCAACGTTGTAAATTTTGTTAACATCAGAGATAGAAGTAAATTAGACTACTCCTGGGCGTCGAGCTCCACCGCTGCCCATAAATACTCTTTTTCAGTGAGGAAAGCTACAGACTATACAGCGAAGCTAATCTTGGGTCTTATCCACATTGCTTTCATTTAGGATTTGGCTAACAACTTTATGAATATATATTGCTTTAGAAGTAATTTTAAAGCAAAGTTTAGTTCAGCTTATAAGGACTGGCTAAAAATAAAAGAGGAATATAGTATATATCATATCTTTGCCTTGATACTGTAGCCATTGCGGCTCTACATATCCTCGATTTAATATTGACTAATAATATTCGTATCTTGGTTATAATATGACAACCATCCTTACAGGAACACGTACTTAAATGTTCAACAACAATTAATTAACAAACGGTGGCTCAACAAGTCTAAATTAATGCAATTTATAGTAATTTAGTAGTGAGTACATAGTGTGCACCTTCATGTATGTTTTGTGCATTGTTGCCAACTCTTGGACAGAGTGATAATTCAATTCAAAATGTACTCCTAGTATGACTCAGGAAATAGAAGATTAAGATATGTATATTATATGTACACACACACTAGCTAGGGCACTGGCCCTTGAACGCATTTTATTGTTTAGTTAACCCTAGCTTGATGACCTAATGAATAATTGCAGACTTAGTCGCCGGTGTGCTCGGCATGCGTTAAAGGCTGTCGTAGGTCATGTTGCAGGGTTGTGCTGCCGTGGTAGATCAACCTTTGTTGCTTAGTAAAAGGTTACTGATCAGAAATACATCAACACATGCCCTCATGGAACTAGCTAAACATGGCGACAGCAAATAAGAATTGACGAAGACTTTAAGCTTTATCTTATTGTTGCCAATTGCCGTCGGTAAAAGTTGAAGAGGACTTGATGTTTCTTTTTGGCTTTTTGCGTTCAAACAAATAACAGTTTTTATTTCTTGAGACCTTAAATTTCGGTTGGATAGGCTTTTGTTATAACTACCATTTGGTAATAGTAAAAATTGATGTTATACGTTATTGAGGTTTTTTTCAAGAGGAATATTTGAACCCAAGACGTTTTGAAACCACAAGTAATCCACCACTTAATTACAATGTAATTTTTGTCTTTAAACACTTTAGAGTTTTTTCAAAATAAATTGACACTTAAACTGCGTTTGGTACGTTGAAAGGAATTGATGAGAAATCATTTCCCATGCCTTTCCCTGAGGGAAGGGAAATGCAAAGTTTATTTCCTATGTTTGGTAAAGATGGGAAACTAAGTAGGAAATACCAAATTTTTATATATGATGGTCATTTTCATAATCTATGAGGACATATTTGTCATAAAATTTATTCATATTTTAATGGAAAGCACGTGACAGGAACGAGTCAACATTTATGATACCTTTGAAGACTAAAAGGCAAGGCTCTTGTGTCTTTACTGTATTTAGAGCATCTTCAAGAGTCTTTAAAACAATATTACCTTAACTATTTTAGTAAGAAAAAAAAAAAAAAAAACTAACGAAACCTTGCTCCAAAGATACTCTTTAAGAGGATTTCCATCAGTTTAGTTAATTTTAGCTACACTAGAGTGAGTGAACAATATCGAAACCTTACTTTAGCTTGTCTTTTACTTTTCATCTCCAACACACTATTTTAACGAACTTCGAATATTTTATTACCAATCATTTCAAAAAGAAAATTTCCAACCTACTCATTTTCTAGAACCACCTTCTCTCTTTTCCTTTTTCTTACGGGTCCATCCTTGAATTTTAATAATTTTTTTAATAATAAACTTATGAACTATTGCTCTATAAATTTAAAGAGTAACTATTTATTTTAATAGAGACTCTTTTATAGAGTCTGTTGGAGATGGATTTTTTACATTTAACTATTTAAAATAGAGTTTTATTGATTTTATAACTTCAGTTGAAGATGTTCTGGAGAGCTGTTTAAAGTTTAAACTAACATGGTGAATAATCACTCTATAAACTTGTAAAGGAGGAGAGAGAATTTTAACATTTGCTAAATATTAAAGATATATTAAACACTCCAATCATTCAGGGACATGGATCCTCTCCCGATCCAATTGTCCTAATCCTAGGGATCCATCAATATGGGACGTTAAAATTTGATCCAACGGCTACAAATAGAGGCCAACTTTAAAAGTTATAATAACTTTAACCATTGGATCAAATTTCAACGGTCCGGATTGATGGATCCATAGGATAATTGGATCCGGAGAGGATCCATGTCCATTATTTAGCTCTTTCTCTCTCCTTTAAGGAAAGGATCATCATCGGATCATTTTCCTAGGGATTCTAGGGATTCTATGATCGTAACCATTCATCGTACATCATGCGGTCAATTTTCGTTACGTACTATTTATATTTAATTTTAAATTTTAAATTTTGAAATGATTTCTGACCGCACAATGTACGATGAACGGTTACAATCACATGATCCCTAGGAAAAGGATCTGGCGATGATCATTTTCCCTCCTTTAAAGCCCTCTCTCTTGAAAAACTACTAAAATATTAAAGATTTGTAAAAAATAAAAATAAAAAATAAAAAAAAAGGTCCTAAATGGGCCCTAAGTGCTAATCAGTCAGCGAATAAAGGCTTTACGCTTAGGAGACTAAGCAAAGCCTAGGCAGGGACTTAGACAGTTTTAATTACATTTATTATATAACATATAAAAATGTGTCACTTAGTACTACGGTCTAGTGGTATTCTTCTTCACTTGTAAGTGAGAGGTCTTAGGTTCGATTCACGTCAAAGGTGAATTTGAACCACATTATTTCTAGCCCATTGCGGCTATGCCCACCCCCTCCCTTTAGTGTAGATTGTAAGATCCCACATCGCCCAGGGGTGTGGATCCTATAAGCCTTATATGTATATTCTCATCTCTACCTAGCAAGAGGCTTTTTGGGAGCTCACTGGCATCGGGTTCCATCGAAACTCCGAAGTTAAGCGAGTTCGCGCAAAAGCAATCTCATGATGGGTGACCCACTAGGAAGTTCTCGTCTGAATTCCCAGAAACAAAACTATGAGGGCGTGGTCGGGGCCCAAAGCGGATAATATCGTGATACGGCCGAGTCGAGCGGTGGGGGCCCAGGCCAGGATGTGACATAGATAATATCATTTGTTCAAAAAAAAAAAATGTACTTATAGTAGTGGATAAGGTGTTGGGTTTCCACCATGTGTCCCAGGTTCAAAACTCTCTCTCCTCTAAATTATTGTAGTAGTTTCGGATCCTCCCCCTTCCTTTAAAAATAATAATTTTGAAAAAAAAATAAGTGTCTATTTACACTTTTAAAAAATACATAATTGTAGTGGAAAATATAAATTGCAAAATATTATGACATAAATCATAAAGCACTAGAATATATTGAAAACATGGGGAACAAGTATATATGAGTGTTTATTCAAGTATCTAATAAGTCTCTTATAATGTATTAAAAGCAAAAAATGCATTTCTTCAAAAAAAAAAAAAAAAATGAAAGTTATCTATTTTTATGTTTAAGTGAAAATGGTTACCCTAAGCCATTTTCTTAAATAAAAGAAATAAGCAAACAAATGTCATAAAACCACCCAGTACACTTAGGGCTGGTTTGGTATTGATGTGCTTTAAAAAAAAAACTGCTTCTGCTGTGTTGTGAGAATAAGCTCATTTTTGCTGTTTCACGTTTTCAGCTTTTTTCACCCAAAACTGTGAAAATAAGCTGTTTTTAAGTGTTTATCAAACACCTTTTTGAGGTCAGTTTTTTTTTTATACCCACTTTTTATAAAAACACCTAGTACCAAACCAGCCCATAAACCCACCTAATCATGCCTAGTCTAGGCAGGTAGGCGGTTGCCTAGGCGAGTTTAGGCATCTTTTTTTTTATATTTTTTAAACATGAAAAGATTAATCGTGGTGATGGTCAGCTGACTAGCGCCTAGACGAGACATTTTGATCATTGCGTAATGTTGTTGGAGTTAAGTTAAATTGACTAGTTAAGATAAACCCTTTTTTTTTTTTTGGGTAAAACTAGTTAAGATAATTTTGTGACACTTTTTACCAGCTAATTTAACAAAAGTTAGGTTCTTTTGTCTTAACTCATACATGTTATTTCTTAAGAAAATTGTAAACCTGAAATATTACATGTTATGTTTTAACTCATTATTTTTATATTTTGTGATGGAACAAGAAAATTCCTATTTATGTTTGGGAGTTGTTATTAGCACTCCAAAAATTTCATTCTACACTCTAAACTTTCTATATTAGGAAAGAAAAATACACTTGTGAGGAGTGTAAAATGTAATTTTTGGAGTGCCAATAACACTTTTCTTAAGTTTTCTCCTTATATTTTGCCCATAAAAGGAAAGTTCTTTTCCCTAAATAAAACACGTTTTCTCCCAATATTTGGAAGTTTGGTAGCCCATGGTCTGAACCCATCTGATGTTCGGTGCACTGCCTACCGACTTTCGACACGGTGGCCCACCAAATGTGAAAATAAATGGGCCATAATTGGCTCAGTACTAAAGTGAAAAGAGTGTACTCCACAAAAAAAATATAATATGCAACCTCTATTATGCGGTTCCGAACCTTGAAAGCCACGTTTGCCCCTCCTCACTAGATTAAGGAATGATATATCGAATAAGCCCCTCCAGTCCAAGCGAAATCACCCTTAGCCCTAGCAATCGTATCCCTAGCTAGTCACATAAACAACCTTAAAACTTTGGGGCTCTCAGGCGAATCATTCAGTCTTGGTTCAATGTTTCCTAATTCATATCATCATGATCAAAGCAAAGATTTGGTATTCCAGACTTCCTTTATTGATGATTCCCACCATAATGATATGATGCAAGTAGAAGATCTAATGCGGGGTCATGAGGTTTTTCCAGAGGAGAAGAATCCATCCCGTAATAAGATAATGGGAAAAGGCAAGCAGCAGCAACAACATATGATATTATCACCTAATTCCAGTAATACTGGAGAAAATAATAGTGATGGTAAGACTGAAAGGAAGATCGTGCGTAGGGACAACGAACGCCAAAGAAGACAGCTTATGGCAGTTCTTAATTCATCACTTCGATCCCTCCTCCCCTGTGAATTGATCAAGGTTAAGAATCGAGATCAACCTCTTTATATTTACTCATATTCTTTTTCTGTAATTTTCTTTTGTGGGCTGGGTTTTAATTTCTTGATTTAGATGATTAACGATGTTTTTAAGGTTTTGTCCTGGGGTTAAGAGGATATATTGCATTTTGTTTTAATTTCTTGACATAGATGAATGTTCCTAGGGTTTTTGTGTTGGGGTTACAGGGAAAACGTTCAATCACCGAGCACATGAATGAGGCCGTCAATTATATAAATCACACGAAGGCGAAGATTGAAGAACTGAATGCCAAGAAGGAAAAGATTAAAAAGTTGTATGAATGTGATTCTAAAGATTTTGGTCTCGAAAATGAAAGTTCGGGTCACGATTTTCTTAAGTACTCTATCATGGTTCACCCAACCTGTTTGGGGGCAGTGGAGGTTGTGATAAGTAGTAGCTGCGGCGAGCAGGAAGGGTTGCCTCTTTCGGGAGTGCTCAAAGTATTGCTTGCGGAAGGCCTTAGTGTTGTTGAGTGTGCTTCCACCAGAGTAAATGAAAGTTCGTTTCACAACATTCAGTGTGAGGTGTATACTCGTTCCTTTTGACTAAAATTAGATTAGGACTTATCTTCAAAGATATGTCTGGTACATATTTAGACATAGATTTAATCTTAATTACCATCTGATTAATCATGATATAAGAACAGATAAAAGAAATTTCACAGTGCGTTTTCTTCAATCCACAGGTTGGCAACGTTTTGGCATGTCTGGATTTGTCTGAGTTGCAACTGAAATTAAGTAACTATTGCAATTCTGGGTGACCAAATATCTTCAATTACCAGGGAAGTATATATATAATTTTCCCTTCCCAATGTTGATTCCCCTTGATTACAGTAAAACCCTGGATGATTTGGTTGTATTTGTGATTTGTGTAACCTGTTGCTGAAATTTCTGTTGTTTCACTCTTAATATGTATGCAATTCTTAATTTCTTTTAAGACAAACGATTTCAAGGTCTATTTAGAAAATGAAAAACTCTCTAGAACGTGATTTCCATGAAATTAGTTAAGCTTTTATCTAGAACCTTGAAAGTACATTTATATACTGTGAGCTCATTAGTTCATGCAATAACAGAAAGTAGTACTCATAGCAATTAATAGCCTTCCTTTTGATTCTTGTTGATATACAAAATCGGGTTGACTTTGAAACAACGTAAAATGAGGTGTGACCTTCACAAGGTTGCTTTGGTCCTCAAGTGATGATAATATGTAAGGAGATAGCGATAGGGAAGCAAATACAAGATATATGTAGTTCACCCTAAGTTCGGTTACGTTCATGAAGGTAGATGAGTTCTCATTAATAAGGTAGAGTTTACATGTTTCAAAGGTTTAAGCAAATTATCACTAGTAAGATATAATGATAGATTAAGTAGAATAATGTCATTGGATTAATTGTGGGAGAATGATCTCGTTTTATAGTTGAAGAGTCTCATGTTGTCATCCGTGGTTGATGTGGGACTCTAGGAGTTTTATTCTGGTGTCGACATATGTCGCGTTGTGATTGGTCTCTTGATTAGAAAGTAAGTCACGGGCTTCAACATGAATCCTTAAATAAGTCTTTAGAAGTACAAAGTTGACAGGTACTCGATAGCTTTGAAGTTTATAAAGTATGATACAAACAATTCTCATATTTGTCAGCCCCTTTATTTATTTTATCAACTCACTGTCAAAATCTTTACTAAGTTTTAGCCGAATTGATACACTATAAAGATTATGGAGAGATGGTATTAAGTTAATTGCTGCTGCATAAAGTTATATAATTCATGCAAAATTTCATTGCTTGTATATGAAATTTTAGACCATTGATCGTAAGCTAACATAACAAAATAAATTTCGAGACTTATTTTAGTAGGTGTTGTTTAATTAATTGCTCGATCCATCCCATACGTTACAATCCATCATATAAAGTTGGATAGGGTTCTGATTTATTTGATGATTTTTCTTTTTCGTTGTGATTATATCTATTGTAGGCAAATCATAGTTGAATAAAGTTGTTGGCAAGACTGCTGCATAAATTCTAGAATTCATGCAAAATTTTCGTTACTTGTATATAAAATTTTAGACCATTCATGATCTTAAGCTAACATATGACAAACCAAAATTTCGCGACTGGCCAGTAGATGTTCTCTAAGATTGTGCATGGATTATTGTTTAATTAAATTGCTGGATCCATCTCATACGTTAGAATCCATCATATATAAAGCTGTATACGGGTTGTGATTTATTTGATGATTTTCTTTTTCCTTGTGATTATATCTATTGTGAGCAAATCATAGTTGGATAAGTTGTTGGCAAGAAATCAAAACTCATGAAGTTTTGATATTTTTAATGAAATTAATACAGAGATTATTCTTCCCAAAAAAAGGAAATACCACCGTTGAATAGATACTGCACTACTGGCTAATACCAGGATATCCTACCAACTCAATTATTTATCGCGTTTATCGATCTCCCTTCCGCTATATATGCATATATGCATGAATGAAAACTACAAGACATATACAGATAGGCTGGCCCTTGGGAAGGGATTTTTAATTTTATTTTTGGGGATTAGTTGTGGAACCTATTTCATATCGAATTTCAACGATCCAAACAGTCTATTTTGTAAGTCTTAATTCATAAATCATTCTTGTAAAAATTCAATTCAATCCCGAAACCATTTACCTATTTAATTATCACAATGAAATTTCATTGCTTCTTATAGAACAAAGTGTTCGTTTATTTCTTTGAACTCAGTTAGATGTCTCAAATATTTCTGATTTGGCTAATATTTTGCAAGGATGATTCAAGAGGTGTAACTTGAAAATAGGCCGTTCAGATTGTTAAAGGACAATGTGGTGTGAATATATATATAGGGAATTGTTATTAGCACTCCAAAAATCTCATTCTACGCTCCTCACAAGTGTATTTTTCTTCTTAATTATAAAAAGTTTGGAATGCCAAATGAGATTTTTAGAGTGCTAATAACAATTCCCTATATATACATATGGTTTTATTTGTATTGACATGGACAAATATTCTAGGACCTGAGCTATGCACAATACAATCTCAACTTCCAACGTATGATCGTAACATATCCAAACTACCATGCATGTGTATTTGTTTTCACATTAAGATGGGATAGTTTCAGCTGGATTGTATACGTTCAAAATGAAAATTTTCTTTCGTTAACCACATCTTCTCAACTATTTTGTTCAAATTGGACCGCATGGCTCATTTCATGATTTTCCAGCAGCTGGTGAGTTTACTGCCGTATTACTATATACTTTCATCTATTACGACCAAGATGTTAGAAATACCCTTGCAAAGGTCATGATTTATGATTATAATGCTGATCTTGTAAGCTGAAAATTATTTATTTCGCAAGACTACTAATTCTTCACAATTGAGAAAAATTGCTAATTTAAGTTATCTTCAGTTACAAAGAGAAAGCAATACAAATCACTTTAAGTTATCTTCGGTTAAAATGTCGGTGATTAAGTTTTGGTGGTTCGTCGAACCACGCCTACTGTTGACGGCCGATTACTGCTCTTGCTAGCCCATGTGCCCAATGACCAAAGTATATCTAGAAAGCTAACAATCCTTTTTTTGAATTCATTATTTCTTTAGATCTTTGCCTTTGAACAATCCCATAAACTCGTGCTGTCGTGCCTCAGCCCACATTGTACCAATAACCTTAGAGCCTACGTAAAACCCAATAAGTTTTCAGATTAAAGGCCCAATTCTAGACTAAAGGTCTGTTAGTGAAGCTCGATTTGATGGGTTTTATCCAAAGAGGAAAGAACTAAACAGAAAACGAAATAACAGAGATAGAAGAAGCTGAAAAACTCTCTCTGTGCTTGTTCTCTCTTGCAAAAGTATTGCAGAGGAATAATCTGTACTACTACGAAAAGTGAGCACTAACACTCCTTTACATTAACTGATGGCCTTAGCTTTAGGACCACTCAAAACTCTACTTTTAATCTTAGTCACTCATCTAACTAATTACATGGATCACACACCACATGGCACTCATGGCCTTACATCTTGTAACATTACACTTGACAAATATGCTCAAGTGAATACACACATTAAACTCATTTTATTTCTAATACTCAATCAGCTAGAGACTTATAATTCAACACTCCCCTTTAAGTCTTGAGCTGATTTCACTCCAAGCATGCTCCTGAGATAATTAAACCGATCTTTAGCCAAAGGTTTTGTAAAAATATCTGCCATCTGTTCTTCAGTGGGACAATAGATCAAGTCAATGACTCATTCTTGCAGTGCATCTTTAATGAAGTGATACCTTCTGTCTATATGTTTGGTCTTCTGATGAAAGACAGAATTCTTGGTGATTGCAATTGCTGAGGTGTTGTCACAGTGTAATGGAGTTGCTTCAGTTTGAAGTTCTCCAAAATCCTCTAGAACAAATCTAAGCCAGATTGCTTGTGCAGTGGCATTTGATGCACTTATGTACTCTGCTTCTGCAGTGGATAATGCCACGCAACTTTGCTTAACTGAAGCCCAAGAAAAGACTCCACTTCCAAACGAAAATGCATATCCAGATGTACTTTTGCTATCATCTGGTGATCCACCTCAGTCACTGTCGCAATAGCCAATCAGCATTGCCTCCTTGCCTTTTGTATACTCCAAACCATAGTCTAGAGTCCCTTTGATGTATCTGAGCACACGTTTGGCAGTTCCAAAATGTTTGCTAGTGGGACAGTGCATAAATCTGGCAAGCAAACTGGATGCATACATGATGTCAGGCCTAGTAGCTGTGAGATATAGAAGACTCCCCACAATGCTTCTGTATAGCTCTTCACTTACTGCTCCACTTCCATCATCTTTAGTTAATTTCTCAGTTGCCACAAGTGGGGTGATCACAGATTTGCACTCATTCAGACCAAACTTGCATAGTAAAGAACTTGCATATTTTTTCTGATGAATGAAAATGCTAGAATTAGTCTGAATTATCCCCATTCCAAGAAAATGATGGAGAAGACCTAAATCTGTCATTTCATATTTTCTTTTCATGTCTTCTTTGAATTCATCAAGCATCAGTCTATCACTTCCAGTATAAACTATGTCATCCACGTAAATAGAAACAATCAGAATGTCTTGCCTCCTTGCTTTGATGTACAGTGTTGGTTCACTCAAACTTTTCTCAAAACCACACTGTGAGAAGTATGTATCGATTTCTCCATACCAAGCCCTAGAAGCCTGCTTTAATCCGTACAAGGCTTTATGTAGTCGATAGACTTTATCTTCCTTTCCCTTGACTACATAACCTTCAGGCTGATCCACATAGACCTCTTCTTCCAATATACCATTCAAAAAAGCTGATTTTACATCAAGTTGATATAATTTCCAGCTCTTATGTGCTGCCAAAGCTACAAGAGTCCTGATAGTATCCAATCTTGCTACTGGAGCATACGTTTCTTTGTAATCTAGACCTGGCTTTTGAGCATAGCCCTTTGCAACTAATCTTGCTTTGTTTTTTAAAACTGATCCATCAAGATTCAACTTGGTCTTATAGACCCATTTAACTCCAATAACAGGTTTTTCAGTTGGTCTATCCACAAGTTTCCAGGTGCCATTCTTCTCAATCATAGCTAATTCATCTTCCATTGCCTTTAACCATGATTTATCTTGAGCTGCATCTGCATATCTTTCTGGTTCCAGAATGCATGAGTTGCATTGAGCAAGAACATCATTCAAATTTCTCCATTTTAGAGGTGAGTGATCATAAGTCTCTGGAATCTGTGCAGACTCAGAAGTGCAACTTTCTTGTTCTTGTGTATGAGAAGAAGAACTAGGACTGAGGGAACTTTCTTCAATCGCACTCATCTCATATGAATTCACACCAACTACATTTTCAGGTTGATCCTGAATGTAGGTTGCAGCAGTTGAACTTTGTGAATTTTCTTTCCAATTCCAAGTCATAGATTCATCAAAGACTACATCTCTTGACAAGA